GACGCCCTGACTGCTCGGTCGAGCCGAGGATCCGCCAAACCGCAAATCTTGTGGTAAGAATACACAGTTGCTTTGGACGAGAATCACATGACCTGATCTGCTTGTGAGTCTTACGAATATTTTTGCAAATGAGCATTCGATAGCCATGTTGGAAGACTTGTGGGAAACATTGAGAATGGACAGCGACTACTACCTGGATCTACGTGCTATGTGTTTTGTGAGAAAACAGCATCGCGTAGATCCAGGCAGATTTTGGCCATGGTGTTTTCTCAAAAAGCACGAAGGACAAAATCTGCCTGGGTTAAATAAGGTTGAAAGGCTACATGTTCACGAATTGGGCATCTAAACCCAGCAACCTCAACCCTTAATCTTTGCACTTAAACTTTAAACCCATACAACCTAAACCTATTGAGTTTAAACCTTAAGGGTTTAAGGCTTGGGCATTTAAACCTTAACCACTTCAGGGTCACAACTCTCCCTAAAACCCTATAGGGACTAGAAGTTTCAAGGGTTTTAATCCTAAAGGCGCTGAAGGTGTACAGATCTTAGGTCTTGAAGCCAGTAAACCTTAGGGTTTAAAGGTTTGAGGGGCTCTTCAGGCTTTCTCTCCAAAACCTCTGTGGGGTTGTAGGGTTCAAGGTTTTCCCTAGGATTAGAATTTAATAGCCCTATAGGGCTTGAAGTCAAATCTCTAAACTTTAAATTCCATAGGCTTACGCCTATGTCATGGCCCACGTTTGTAGGGCTTGTCTGCAGCGGAAATGTAAAGAGAAGGGAAGAAGCGTCCAGATCATGTGTGTATACATGTAATTAGGGTTTCTGCATTGTGTATCAGATGCTGGTAAGCCTTGAACACTGTGAGCAAATATCCTTTCAATATTTCCTGGGGCCTTCCAACAGGCAGCCAAATTTTGTCCATTTTTTCCAGACAACACCATGGACAAAGTCTGCCTGGATCCATTTGAAAAACCACCATGGACAAAATCTGCCTGGATCTACGCGGCGCTGTTTCTTACAAAAAAGCGGCGCGTAGATCCAGGCAGATTTTGTCCTTTTGTTTTTTCTTGTTTTCATACATGATCTGGATTCTTATTTCCTTTCTCTTTGCATTTCCGCTGGAGGCAGCCTCTGGGATTCAAAGTTTCGGGATTCAAGCTTCAAGCCCAAAAGGTACTGCCTCAAGCCTGAACCTTAAACTCTATAACCCCGTGGAAGTTTTGGAGATAAACCCTGAAAAACCCCTAAAACCTGTATTAATGATTTAAAGACCTAAGATCTGGGCATGTGTATCCCTCGCCTTAAGGGTTAAAACCATTGAACCTTCTAGACACTATAGATTAGGGTTCTGACCCTAAAGGGTTTGGGGTTAAGGTTTAAATGCCTAAGCCTTAAACCCTCAATGGGTTTAGGTTCTATGGGTTTAGGTTTAGGTGTAAAGGTTAAGCGTTGAGGTTCATTGCCGGCTTAGGTTTAGATGCCTAATTCGTAAACATTTAGCGTTTCAACCTTATGTAACCCTCTCGAGTTTGAAGGTTAAGGGTTTAGGCTGAATTGCTTAACCATATAAGGTTTCGGGGCTTCTCTTTCAAACCGGAAAACTTTAACCGATGGGCTGTTAGATGGCAAAAAGGTTCCAAAATCTCAAATCGCAAGCAGTGTCCCCCTTAGTTTTTGCTGAAAGTATAGGTTCGAAAATCCCAAATCGCAAGCAGTGCCCCCCTTCGTTTTTTGCTGAAAGAAAGGTTCCACAAATGGCAAATCGCAAGCCGTGTCCCCCTTAGTTTTTGTTGAAGAATCACTGCCGCGTAGATCCAGGCAGATTTGTCCTTCGTGCTTTTTGAGAAAACACCATGGCCAAAATTCATCGTTATGTAGTAGAACCGCTTCTATTTCCATTATTGTGCATCTTTAAGCTTGCTCATGCAAACTGTGCTTTTCAGACATAGTATATAAGTGGTCTTTAGTGAATACTTCAGCAATTTTTGTCTCATTGTTATGTAGGTAGAACCGTTTCCATTTCCGCAAGTGTTTATTTCGTATTTGGTTGAGTATGATCCTTTAAATAGTATTCACTTGAGTCAAATTGGGCTATTTGCTTAAGAATTCCTCTAGTAGTTAAATTCGCATAGGATGAATACTTCAAAAAAATTGTTTCATGAATATGTAAACATAAGGTGTTTCATTTGATTTTGCAGATAGTGCTTCAATAATACTTTGCCTGGTATAAACACAACTGTTTCAATGCATTGGTTGCTCAACAAAGCACTATTTGCCCTTTAAACCACACTTTGCCATATTTTGGTTGAATATGGTGATTCTTTCGTATTTTGGTTAAGTATGGTCCTTTAAATGGTATTCACTTGAGTCAAATTGGGCTATTTGCTTAATAATTACTCTAGTAGCTAAATTCGCATAAAATGATCATTTCAAAAAAAAAACGATTCATGAATATGTAAACATAAGGTATTTCAGTGGACTTTTCAGAGAGCATACTTTGCCTAGTACAAACACAATTGTATAAATACAGTATTTGCACTTTAAACGCACACTTTGCCATTTTTTGGCTGAAAATGGTGTTTATTTCGTATCTTGGTTGAGTATGCTCCTTTAAATAGTATTCACTTGAGTCAAATTGGGCTCTTTGCTTAATAATTGCTCTAGTAGCTAAATTCGCATAGAACCAAGAAAAATGTTTCACTCTTTGATTAATACTTTGCCTCGTACAAACACAATTGTATAAATAAATTAGTTGCTCAACAAAACATTAATTGCCCTTGAAACGCACAATTTGCATAGAAAAACGCTGATCTAAACATCTAAAACCAGCATTGTCCGCTTCAGATTCAAAATGTAGATTCTTCCAATGCTAGCTTATCGGGGTCTGTGAGGTGGGTGTACCAGTAACTGTCCTTCATTACCCGGTGATTAACTACGCGACTTTTGGGCCTTCTTTGTTATGTTTTGTTAAAAAGGCCGAAAAAGGCCTAAAAAAGGGTAGGTCGCTGGAGGGGTAGCATACAGATATACACATATATATACATATATGCATGTACATGAATACATGAAAACATGTAAACATGTATACATGTATGCATATACAAAAATACACATATCCATATATACAAATATACTTTTTCACAGCATGCGTGTGCGTACATGGGATCCGCTAGTATGTTCTGCCTTTCAGCCAAACATCACAGAACAACACACAACACACAAGAAAAAACAAAACGGAAGCAATCCAATCTACGGTGAAACATCCCTCTCTCAAAACACGAACAGTTGTGGCTTGACTCGTGCACTCCACGCCACTCCACTTTGGGTATCCATCCCCCAGGCTTGGCGGGTGCCACCTGCGGTGCTGCCGTAACGAACTCTTCGTGCCGCAGCTCATTGGCTTTCGGGTTATCCATCCCCCGGGCTTGCCTACCTGCGGTGCTGCTGTAACGACCTCTTCGTGGCGAAGCTTGTTGGCTTTCGGGGTCACGGGCTTGGCGGGCGCCTACTTGCGGTGCTGCTGTAACGACCTCTTCGTGGCGAAGCTTGTTGGCTTTCGGGGTATCCATGCCCCGCGGGCTTGGCGGGTGCCTACCCGCGGTGCTGCTGTATCGACCTCTTCGTGGTGAGGCTTGTTGGCTTTCGGGGTGTCCCCCGGGCTTGGCGGGTGCGTACCCGCGGTGCTGGTGTAACGACCTCTTCGTGGCGAAGCTTGTTTGCTGTAGCTAGTCATTTTGGGACATGCTTGCCTGTTGTTTCGCTTGTGCTTCTGTTTGTGGAGCACGTCGTGTTTTTTGTGTTTGTTTTTCTTCAGCGGTTTGATCCTTAAGCCTTCGGGCCGGAGGCGATACCGCCTTTTAACCGGACTTTGTCCTGGTCACTTTCCATTCCGTTCCATTCCATTCGGAAGTGTCGCCTTTTTCACCGACTTCCCTTGGGACACTGCCAACTACACGTGGTGGATCTCCCCTGAAGGAAAGCTGCGCCAAGAATGGCTCTGGCCTACACTGCTCTGCGTGTCACATAGAGAGATGTTTGATGGTGAAGTGGTGCTGATGCACGGCGTCACATCACTTTGTGCGTGGCGATTGCTAATTTGCAACAGCCGAAGGGTTGGGTTTCACTCTTTGGAGGTGGGGGGGCTACATGAGACTCCGCAGCCCCAACCGAAACGGGCAAGAGGAGCCAGAAGAGAGAGGCACCGGAATGGGACCCGCGCCGGAGCGGCACGGAACGCCGGAGCGGAACAGCGCGCTGGCTGTTGGGTTGCGCAGTTGGGCCATTTCCAGGTTAATTGTATGAGTGAAATTGAAGCCCTAAAGTTGAACCCGCAAACCTTCAACCTTGAACCTTGAACCTATACCCCTAGCTTCTGGACCTCTGGCCCGAAGTTGATCGAAACTGTCGTCAAAAGGGCCTCCAAGCTGAACTTGGTGCGAATGATTTGGCATCCGTCTGCTGGACCAGTCGCATCCGCAAGACGGAGGCGCTGCTCGGAGCTCAAAGAAAACGTTCGTTTTTGTAACAAATTCCTTATCAACACTTCTCCATGACTGCATTGACATTGTTCAAAACTTGCTTGGGAGATTCCATCCAATGGAGGCGAGCCCGCCACTTGATTCCCTGTTTTGCCTGCCCTTAGATAGGGTTCAGCTAGTGCGTGGGTAGGGTTTGATTCGGGCGTGAGCTTTACATGGGGCTTCGGTTTGGGTTGAAGGAAAGGGCTTGGTGGGGTTTAGGCGGAACATCCTGCCCCCCTTGCCCCCTCCTCTCGCCCCCGCCTTTGTGTGTAGCTTTCAATGACCACCCAATTTTCTCATGCTTTGGCCTCGCAGCTGTATCAAAATCAAGATATATCTAACAAAGATGAACATGACAGTGTCCTAATCGCATATGCGGATAAAGTTTCATGTCCTTGTTTTGCCCATACCATGAGTTTGCCATGATGAGCGTGCACATGGGTTGACATATCCTCTGCTGGTCCATGATGCGTCGCTGACAGCATGGCAGGCTCGGCTGTTGGAAGCATTGTGTTTGGATTTCCGGCAGGGCAAGAATGTGCGTGACTGAGCCCTTTTTGGGGCTTCAAGATTTGGACGGCGTTTGAGGCAGCACGTCGTTTGGCCGCGATTTTCTTCGGTTGTGCCAAGACAACAACGGCGTTGACCTGCACAAGTTGCCAGGGCCTGTGTTTGTTGTTGTTTTTTTCAAGTGCTTCAGGAGACGACACAGCTTCATTCATGTTTCACAAGCTGACGCATGTTTCTGCGTACGAGGCTCCAAACAACCCTTGGAAAGCAGCCGGCAGATGCCGATCTGGAGGCAATAGATAGTTGGGGCCACGTTTACTCCATATGAAAGCTTGAAAGCTTTTTTTTGTGGTGCACCCTGAGAGAGTGGTGAACGGCAGGCAACCCATGACGACGCCGTTGCCAAGAGTGTTGGGCTGGCCTGGAGTGCGGGTGTAACAAGTGAAGGCTCCTGCTAGAGGATGTTTGCGTTAATTGTTTGCTATGGCATCGGGTTCATGGAACATTCTTTGTGGCCAAACATTGTGCAAACCCTGGGTCTTACAACAGCGCGACTGTTGTTGGCTTTGGGCATTCTCGAAGGCTTGGAAGCCTCCTTGCAAGCCTTGCGGCAGTGGGCCCGAAGGCATTTGTTCGCTCGCCACACTGTGCAAAGGATGTTTTCCATCCCCAACCGCAGCAGCTTCATTGCGAAGCCCGTGATGATGTCAGGTATCTAGATCGGAACGACAAGGTGCGCTGGATGCTGGCACCAATGTTGTTGGCTTACTTGCGTTTCAGCACGGAGCAGAGCATTGAGCCACTGGATGTTTGACCTGTGGGATTGCACCTCAACTTTGCACAGCGACATCTGTAAAAGGCCTCAGGTTCAAAGAATGTACGGCAAACATGCCCCCAGAAGTTTGCTAAAGCTGAAATCACGTGCGCTCCTGAAAAGTACTGAGAGTGCTGAGGTTGTGGTTGGCAGCACGGCCGAGGCAGGAAAGGGCAGTGCCAAACTCGTGGCATATGTTGAGCCCTGAATCCTAAATCCGAACCCAAAAATTTTCAAGCCAGTCAAGCTTTCACAGTTTTAGGTTTGGGCTTCAGGGCTTCTGGGAATATGACGGTCGGAGAATGGTAGGCCTTGTGAGTGGCATGTGGACTTTTCAGCGGGTTTGGTGCAGGCAGATCGCTGTCGAGCTAGATGGGAAAGATTCTGCCAGGCCGATGGTTCCGTGAGATTTTGATGCATCTCTTGTTAGAGCTTTGCCAGATACCGTGGCAAAGTGGTGGAGGCAATCGTCGTGTCATTTTTCTGTTCACGGATGTTTCTGATAGTTTCTTGGTATTAGATCAGGCTGCTGTTGTCATCTCCAGGAACTTCGGGTCCTCTTCACCAAGCTGCACCAGGACAGAGCCAGAAGAGAGGTTCGGCCCCCAATTGGGGATTGAGTACATTCTTGGACTCTGCGCATGTCTCCCAAACTCAGAACCACACACCCCGGAACCCTGGTCTGGTCAGGGCGCCTTGGTAATGTGCTGCGAGCTCCTGCGGCTCTACAGGAGCCTCGGACAGGCTCAATCTCATCCCAATAAAGCTCCTCGTGATTTTCTTGAAAACGGACCAGAGATTCTACACTCCCTCAGATCGGGAGGCGTCCCAGTGTTCCTTCATCCTGACGACTGTTGGCGGGCAGCCCCAGATGGCAAAAGAGGTGTCCGAAATTCTTTGCTCTCCACTCCGTGGGAGGCAACGTGGCGCGGGAGGAGACGCCGCATCCCAAGAAACTCTTCAAAAGGCGATGGCGTCGCCTCTGCTTCTGTGGGACCCGATTCCCAGGTTCGATCCCAACAGGCTACCAAAGTCGTTGCTTGTGACCCTGTGACCTCTTGCAATGACGTCGCCTTGCACACACACACACACACATGGGTCTTTCCCAAACCCGAAACCCTAAACCCTAAATCCTCACCCTAAACCCTAAACCCTAAACCCTAAACCCTAAACCCTAAACCCTAAACCCTAAACCCTAAACCCTAAACCCTAAACCCTAAACCCTAAACCCTAAACCCTAAACCCTAAACCCTAAACCCTAAACCAGGGCACCCCTTTCATACGCAGGTACTTCCTTTGGGGGAAGCATCTGGTGCTGGAAGGCAAGATTGTGGAGGCGCCTCGAAAGAGCTCCGGCTCCCCTTCTGGGGGCTGGTTCGACTCCCAATTGCCAGGGTATGAAGGGGCTATTGTTGTTCAGGCGGTGTTGATGAACACATGCTGCCTGTGCATGAGTAAAGAAAGATCGGAGGCAAGCGAAACGGTATACTTCAGCAATCAACTCTCTTCTTCCTGCATCTGGCTCAAGAATGCAGCCTTTGTATAGCCAAAAACCTCTTGCAATGGGTTGGGTTCATGCATCGCACGCGAAATGGAAGGTACAGATCCAGGGCTAGTCAGAGACAGGCGCATGCGAGAAGGACACGCTGGCTTGAATGGCGATCGCAACAGCATGAGCAGGTTCCACTTGACCGTCTGTGGTTGCTACATAGATTTAAATGCTTGTTGTCGGGGCATGCCGGGCGTTGTGGAAGACAACTGTTCGCAGATGCCGTCGGCGGCCGTGATCATTCCGGTCGACAACGAGATGTTTTCCCTCTTGGGCAACTTGCAGCTTCGGAATGTAAGCTGGAAAACTGGACCACTCAACGCTGGAGTCTGCTTCGAGAATTTGCGAATGCTGTCATTGGGGCCTTGAACTGGTGCTATGGTTGCAAAAATCAGGGAAGCAACGACTTTTCCCGAACCAGTGCACAGATGGATGTCCTTCGTCGACTTGTCCAGCGATGCGTTGATTTTCATGACAGATTGCAAGTGCCTGCTGACGGCGCTTGGGAAGCCTTAGTTCCAGATTGGGTGCCGCTGCTCAACCGCCCAGCAGGCCCGAAGTACGGTGACCTTTGTGCAGACAAGGTTGATGTGCTGCAGCGCGCTGGTATCTGCGATCCTGTGGGATGTCTGCCACCTGATGTCCAGAGGGTCGTCCGTGATGACAAGGCCATGTTCGCAACTGATATTTCTGGCCTGTCTGAGTTTGAAGACGTGAGCCCTGCAGATCGGGTTGAGTACGTCAAGCTGATGGTCAAGCAATTGCGTGCCAAGCAACTTGGCCTGACTGCCCGGCCTCTTGGTGGTGGCAAGGTGGTCGCTGTTGGCAAGCCCGGAGGCACTCGCCAGCGTGCCGTTTGGAACGGCAGAAGAGTTTCCGCAGCAGCGTCGCGCCCTCCGAGACCTAGGCACCTGGCATCCCCCACTGCTCTTGCTTACTTGGAATGCCAACCAGGGCGGCAGATCAGGTGCAGCAAGCGTGATGCCAGTTGTTGGTTTGATCAGTTGCAACTCCCGCCAGAGCTTCAGCGCTGGATGGGCAGGCCCAAGGTCAGCTTGGAAGAGTTGTGTTCAGCTGGCATGACTTGCGAGGAAGTTCAGGGCTATTTGCTTCCAGGCGAGCCAACCGATGCATCTGCGTTCCATCCCGTGAGCTTGACGTGGCCGATGGGCTTTGCGTGGAGTTCGTACGTTGCGCAGGAGTTTCTTCTGGACATTTGCAAGGTGGCAACCTTGGATGAAGCCCGAGTTCTCTCGTGCGAAGCTCCCACCCCAGCTTCTTTTGATATGGTGAATTCTGCAGCCACAGATGATGTTATGATCTTCAGCGATGGAGGTGCAGGGCGTACTTCAGACGCTGCCCACCTGTTGGATGCCGAGTTCCATCGTCGTGGGGTGGTCCGCAATGCAGCCAAGGATGTGGACGACCAGCTTGATGCCACCTGCGTTGGGGTCGCTCTTGAGGCTGGCAGACACCTAGCAGTTCCTCCTGCGCGGTGCTTGGCCATGTTTGTTGGAGTGCTGTGGCTCCTTGCTAACAAGTTTGCTTCACCCAAGCAAGTACACCAGCAGTTGGGGACACAGCAGTGGTTTGACTTGCTGTGCCGATGCAAGCTTTCTGTGTATGACAAAGTTTACGACTTTGTTAAGGATCATACGGATACCGCGCCGCGGAGGGTGCCTGGCACAGTGCTGTTCGAGCTGGCTGTCGGCATTTTGCTTGGCGTCTTTTGGCGGCTCGATTTGCAAAGGCCTTTCTTGCCGCTGCTGTCAGCAACTGATGCTAGCACAGAATTTGGCTTTGGGGGGAGCGTTGCCCGATTGCCTGAAGGCATGATTCGCAGACTTGCCCGTGTCTCCGAGAAACAGGGGGGCTATGTAGTTCTGGAAGGTGCTGCCACCCTTCGTGCAACCCATGGTCGCTGGGGCCTTTGTCACCGTATAGATGTGAGCCTGTGCGACTTTGTGGACATTTTCTCTGTCAGAAGGCGTTTCAAGGCACACATAAATGTTTTGGAAGGCGAAGCGTTCCTCATTTGGTTGCGTTGGCTGCTCCGATGCAGAAGGCGGCACTGTAAGCGAGTCGTCGTGCTCGTGGACAGCGCTGTTTGGTTGGGTGCTGCAACGAAAGGCAGGTCCTCAACTCAACTCAACAGGCTGTTGCGAAAGGCAGCTGCGTTGGAACTGGCAGGTGAACTGCAAGTGCACTTAGTTCTGGTCCCGTCTGCAGAAAACGCGTCTGACTGGCCATCGCGAGGAGTGCGTCGTCGACGTGTTCACACAGACAAATGTGCAGCGCCCCCATCTTCGCCCGCCTGATTGCTCACGGGCGCTTGGCAGAGGTATTGTGCAGCATGTGGCTATTTTTCTGCCTTGCTTCGCAGCATCTGGCATGATGTGCACGGGTCTTCATGCTGCCCTACCTCTTCCAAATCGAATTTGTTTTTTCGGTGTACAGTCTTCCAGCTAGCATCGTTCGTCCATCCATGCTTTCCGGGCTTTCCAGCTGATTGTATGGCAGTGGGTACCTTGGTGCTTGTACCTGCGGGGTGCACATCAAGTTGTGCAAGCCGGATAGGTCTTCTTTGACAGCCTTCTGGGCTTATTGTGTGGGCCATGGGCAGTTTCTGAAGAGTTTTCGCGTGCTTGCAGCTCTGATCTTCGGCAAGATCCGAGCCAGTCCAATAATTAGCGGCCGCTTGCCGCAGCGGTCGCGGCCAGTATTGGTTGGTTGGGTGTGGATTGCAGCAGTGAATACAGCTTCACTGGGCAAATGCGGGCTGCGGAAAGTGCAGCGACATGTTAACCTCCTGATGCTGGCGATGCGGTTTTTGATGAAAAGAGGTGTTGGGCAAGGTGAGATGATTGCAACCTGCCGTTCTGCGAGTGACGAATGGCACTTTCATGGTCGCGGCTGCAGAAGCCGTTTGCAACAATGAAGGGGCTATTGTTGTTCAGGCGGTGTTGATGAACACATGCTGCCTGTGCATGAGTAAAGAAAGATCGGAGGCAAGCGAAACGGTATACTTCAGCAATCAACTCTCTTCTTCCTGCATTCATCTCAAGAATGCAGCCTTTGTATAGCCAAAAACCTCTTGCAATGCCCTCCCTTCCCTCCCTTTAGGGGTGTGGATTGCAGCAGTGAATACAGCTTCACTGGGCAAATGCGGGCTGCGGAAAGTGCAGCGACATGTTAACCTCCTGATGCTGGCGATGCGGTTTTTGATGAAAAGAGGTGTTGGGCAAGGTGAGATGATTGCAACCTGCCGTTCTGCGAGTGACGAATGGCACTTTCATGGTCGCGGCTGCAGAAGCCGTTTGCAACAATTTAGGGTTTCGGGTTTCGGGTTTGGGGTTTAGGGTTTGCTTAGGCAGCGTTGTTTTTGTCGAATTTTTCCTTCGTCTTTCGGAAAGGCGGAGGAGAAGCTGTCGCGGGCGCTGTCTCTCTGTCCTCCAAAGGCCATCGTCAGCTTCAGACTGGTAGAGCCTGGCCTGTTGATGGTGGATCATTTCCTTTGGGTCCCTCTTGTTGCCCGGTAAGCTGGAGTTGTTGGAGTTTTGGAGCATCCTGAACCCCGTTGGCCCTTGAATCTTGAGCTTCAGGATGGAGTTCGTGCCGAGATCACACTTGAAACGCTTGTGGGAAGTACCGTTTACGTGGCATCACGTGGTTAAGCCCATGTGTTTTGCTAGGATGGCTGGCTAAGACTGCATCCTGTGTGCATCCCACCCTCTCTGACTTTTTCAAGCACACTCTTGTGTCAGCCGGCGTTTCCAGGCGGCTGGCAACCGACGGAGGCCTTTCCTTATTGGATGACCCATGATCCATGGTACCCCGTGCTGTAGCTGGACTTCCCACTTCATGAGCTTCGTTTTGACTTTGTAGGATCTTGGCCTACTTGATCCCATGTCGCTTACGACTTGGCCAGTATCCATCGAGAGGCCTATGCACAGTCCCGCAACCAGGTGATGTGGTGTTTCGTAGCTCTTCGTGCAGGTGTCCTCGAGCGGAACGGGTTGTTGAGGTCGGACATTTACAGATATGGGGGTTTCCGAAATTAGGGGGGGGTTTATAAGGAAATCCTACTATTTGGGGTCTATATTAGGGGTCCCCTAATTTCGTAAACCCCCATATGAATTGTTTGGAGAAGCTTGGTTGTGCCATCTCCTGCATTGATGCCGCTTGTCTGCGCAGCTTGGCGGGGCTTGTGGCGGCAACAGCTACTGGCGACGTGCGCCGGTTCAACGAGGACACAGATTCAAGAGATTCAAAGACGAGATAGAGTTGCCTTCTAATCATAAGCCCTAAACCCTAAGCCCTAAGCCCTAAGCCCTAAACCCTAATTAAGCCTTAAACCCTAAACCCTAAACCTTAAACCCTAAACCCTAAACCCTAAACCCTAAACCCCAAATCCTAAACCCTAAACCCTCCCTAAGCCCTAAACCCTAAACCCCAATTACTTGCCTGTGCTTACACCAGGAGCTCGTCCGGCAGGCGCGGGAGCAAGACAACCGAAACCCCAAAAGTACTAGTTGCAGAAGAACCCCCCAAAAATTAGGAAATGAAAATGCCCATATTGCCCTGAAAAGGAGGATTATTCTTGATATTTTTTTTGGGGGGTTCTCAAGCAACTAGTAGAAAAGAATACCGTGCGTCGGTCGAAGAATGAGGAAGTTGATCTCATTGCACTCGGCACCTACCTGGTGACGGCCACGTCCTCATTGCAGTTGCCTGCATCATGCCTCTCTTTTCCATGATTTTTGTGCCACACAGGCGCTGTTCTGCTCTCCATGCCTTTGCAGTCATGACCGAGACGTCATGCAAGGAGAAGCTCAAAGTAGTGGCATACCGGAATCTTACGAGACACGTGTCAGGACCCTAGTGTGGTTCTACGCCCTGTCGCAGTTCCTGATGGCCCGGATGTCTGCATGTCGTAGATGCCAAGTCCCTGCCTAGGTTCGAGCATCAAAGCGCGAAGCTTGAGCCGGCACAAAAAGCCAAGCAGGAAGCGCTGCAGCTGTGTGAACACAGTGTGAACATGCTGCTTTCAATGATGCATGTTTGCATTCTTTAGATGCAATGCGCCGAGCGAGATTAGCGTAGAGTCTGCTGGTTGAGAGGACTTTGCACCCTACGAGTGTGCCTTCCGATGGCAGGACAAGTTGTTAGGTGTTAGGATGTCAAGCTGTTTCCCATGCATCGCCTTTGATGTCGCTTGGGATGTTCCCCCCTGATACTAACAGTCCTTAATTGGGATTATATTACCCCCTATAATAATCCCTATTATGGACTCTCAGTATAAGGGGGAAAATCCCAAGATGTCGCAGTTCCTTTTTGTTGAGATTACCTGCCTCCTTCGAGACAGGATGACTGCTCGGAAGACGAGACGCTGTGCCTGCTGGCTCACCTGGTGCGCCCAGAACCGTTGAAATGTGGCGCTAGCCAGATGGGTGGTTCTTTAAATTGGGTTCCCTTTTTTGGGTCCTTTTTTTAAGGGTGCTGTAGTCTTTGTAGGGGACCCAAAAAGAGCCCCTAATTTAGAGAACTACCCCGATTGGCATGCTGGCAAAAAAACGCGACTGCCGCCAGATCTACATCGGAGCTGTGAAGGGCTACCTCTCGGACCAGCGCCGCAAGGTGGTCTTCTCCAAGGTCGGGGTGGTTGGGGGGGTGGGGTTTAGGGTTAAGGTTTATAGGGTGTAGGGTTTAGGATTTAGGATGTAGGGTTTATGGGGTTTAGGGTTGAAGGTTTATAGGGTTTAGGGTGATTGCTGCTGCCGTCCCTTGTGCGACAGAGCGCGACGCCAGGAGACGCCGTTTCCCGCCGCCAGTGCTTGGGCCAGCAAGGCATAGCGAGTCATTCATATATGGCATGATATGGGCATTTCCCAAAATAGGGGTACCCCGTACATAAGACCAAGACGGATCTTGACTCCTTCGTAGAGGAACACCCTTTAAATACAACCCGCATGTCGGGAACCTCCCATATGTGTGAGATGGGACCATATCGCTGCGGGGAGAAACAGAATCTTGGTGCAGTGCACGACATGACATGGGGGTTTCTCTAGTTCATGGTCTCTTCTTGGGGTTCCTAGGAGCCTTGGCATATAAGATGGCCCAAAAGGACCACAATTTCGAGAATCGCCCACCGGGTCCAGAAAGACATCCGCAACGACACTTTGAGTTGTGGTTGCACGTGCGGCTGCCAGCAATCAGACAAAACCCACGTCCTGAGCTGCTCGATGCTTCATGAACATCCCATCAATGAAGGGCTGACAGGCTTACCATTGTTTTTTTGGCACTTGGATAGTGGCAGCACGTTACGTTGTGGCCCCCTTCTGCGTGGAATGCACGCTCCGCGCAAGCATGCGCTCGATGTGCCGCCGCCGTCCCTGGATGAAGTGGAGCAGGCCCCATCAGGGAAGTGTCATGCCAGTGTCATGCCAGCATGTCTTTGAATTGACGATCCTTGTTCCAGGCTTGCCGGGAACGACGGGAACAAAGCCCGAGCTCAGTGAAACGATGGCTCCATGGTTGGGGCATTGATGGCTATCCCTACTTGGACACCTCCTCGCAGTTCCTCCACCTGCCAAGCAAGAAGCCTGCTGCGCGAGCTGCACATGCTCCCCCCTGGGCTCCCAGCTACCCATATCCACAGGCGTTAGTGGGGCCCGTGAAGGAGGCGTCGGGAACAGGAGGACGAAGTGGAGTAGGTTGCAGCTTGCTGGAGGCGGTGGAGGCTTCGGGTTCATCCGTGCCGGTTTCTCTCCCAGAAGACTGGCGTTCTTCGCTGGATGACCTTTCGGCGGCGCTCGAGAGCCTAGACCAGCCAGGCGCGACCTGCAGCAAGGTAAAGCTGTGATGGGGGTGATAGAGGACACTTAGAGGGAGAGAGTCCGCTGCTCTGAGGTATCGTGGCTGCCCTGCAGCAGCTCAGGCGGCTCAGATTCAGTTGCGAGGAAGAGGCGCTGATGGTGAGCCGGGCCAAGGACCTTCTGGATGCCTACGTCGGAAGGCAGCACCCCCCAAACCCGGCCAAGAGCTGGAGAGTTCGGCTGTTGGAGAAGGAGCTCTTCAGGCGCTTTCGGGAAGCTTGCGCCAAGAACCCAGCAGGCATCCAGCGCTTCATCGGGGCGGGCCTTCCCGAAGAGCTTCGCTCGATCGTGGAGCCCTATCGTATGGCAAAACAGGCCGCGGAGATGTCCAATCTGGGCTCTTCCACGACCGAGAAACACACGAAGCGGCCGGCTGCGGCCGCGGTGCCTGCAAGGCACACCTGCAGCCCAGCACCGGCTGAAGTCCAGCGTGCGGTCGCGCCCGGCGGCCTCGGCGCGGCGGAAGCACAACTGTCCAGCGCGGCGCTGAAGCTTCCATGGTCATCTGAAGAATGTTGGGAAAGGCGCTGGGAGCAAGAGCCTTGCATGAACACATATGAACTCCTCTAACCCGCTCCCATCCGCTCCCCCCACGTGCCAGCCTACTCTCAGGACCTGGTTTGGCATCCTGGGATCCTGTATGCGGCACATCAGGCTTTGCCTCAGCAGAGATAGCGACCCGGCTCAGCATCGCACCCAGATTGGTCGCCGGCACTTTTGTGAAGGACACGGGGCAAGGCCCCGAGACCCTCTTCCCGCCTGAAGGCCCTCCCCAGGACCTCGGACGACTCGACCGACAACTCGTGCTCTGACTATGAACCCTGCCGAGCTGAGTTCACGCCTGCGCATCTTGTCGATACCTTGCACCTGCAATCCGGCATTCAAGTGCAAGCCCATAATGCGAGCTGTCGTTCTACGGTCGTGTGTTGGTTGTTTCCCAGGACCAATCTGCTGGTAAACTTTTTCCCCAACAAAGTACCTCGAAGCAGCTTTAGAGGTTCAGGAGGCACCCGACAGCAAAAAGTATGCGCTTTGTTCTCTTGGATGCATCGTGGGGGCGACTGCAGACCTATCTGTGAAGCAGATGTCTCCTCGCAAGTGCATCTTATGAGCCGGGAAACCTGGAGGCAATGTCGATGCTGACGGTCGCGCTTTCCGCGACTTACGCGTTGAGAAAAACCGGGAAAAGATAGTCTTGATGGCTCCTGCCCTCATCTTGAACCCTGAGCTAAGCTCTCAACGCTGGGCACGCAGCGTTCAACCTTGGCCCAAGTGGGACAGTGACGGCCCAGTGCCCCATGATCATTTTGTGCTTTGACTGGGGTACATTCATGGGTATTTGCAACTAGGGTTGCAAGATCTTAGCAACCCCAAGCAAGGTTTTAGCCAGCTGCAGCCTGTTGTGGGGTTTGGGCGACCAACCACAAACCTAAAAACGCCCAATAGAGGCTCTTGTGCCTTTACGGAAGAGAATCAGTCGAAACGTGTGAAAGCTGGGACCTGCGTTCTGGACACCCATGGCGGGCATCAGTGTGAAAGAGGAAGACGTGGAGGATGAGAGCATGCTGTTAGAGTGCAATGATGACGGCGAGGCAGGTGGTTTTGGGACACTCTTGGCTCGCCGCGACTTTTTGTCCTCTTTTCGCGACCGGGGAAATCCAGCCGACGGGGGTTTACAAAATTAAGGGCGCCCCGAATATAGTCCCGGATTCCTTTCTAATAAGGACCCCAATAAAGTACCCCTACTTTCAGAAGCTCCCATGTATCCCATGTAAGTCGGCTGGCCGACTGAACATCCAGCAATTGCCCAATCGCAGTTCCTAAAACCCAAAACCCAAAACCCAAAACCCAAAACCCAAAACCCAAAACCCAAAACCCAAAACCCAAAACCCAAAACCCAAAACCCAAAACCCAAAACCCGAAACCCTAAACCCTAAAACCCTTAACACCGTGACAACATGCAATGCGTGCGCAGGCCTTGTCTCTTTTCGGTGAAGCAACGCCGGTCCCTCCGGGTGTTGTGCTGGACATGGGGTTTAGCTACAGTGCTCTGAGATCTGTGTGAGTGTCTCAGCATGTGGACTGCATCTGATGCCCTCTGCTTGTTGATGTGTATCCTGCTGTGATCCGCGCTATGCAGGACAAGCTCTCCGCGATGCTTTCGACGGGCCGAGCTCGTCTGAGACCCTTGCCACATTATGATGCGGCCGTGGCTTCGGCGTTGCTCAGAAGATGAAGCCCTACCCCCCTCCCCCCTCCCCCCTACACCCTAAATCCACCCGACTCAACGCACTTTCCTAAACCCTAAACCCTAAACTAAGTGAGGGGTCGCTTCCGTCGAGCGACAGACCCCGAACGCTCGGCCGAGGGCCTTACAGCCCGAGCGCCCAAGCGAAAAGAGAAACGGAAAGGTGAGGGTTAAGCCTCACCGTCTGTCCTGGACAGGCCAACGGACATCGGCCCAATTTCACGACAACGTCAGTACTCGGCGAAGGGATGGCCGGCACCCAGACCACCTTCAGCGTAGCTAAAGTATAACCCCAAATCGTAACCCTTTCCCTTGCAGGTTTCTTCAGGGTTTTGGGTTCAGGGTTTGCTGGGCCCCCCCCCCGAAGGCCCCCTAGCCCTGGTGGCTGGATTCCTGGACTAGGCAGGCTGGTTGCTCACTTTTGACGGATTTTCGAGCCCGCCCTCCTTGGCCCCCGGGGCCAAGGGCTCCGGGGCCAAGGGCGCGTCCCGGGCCAAGGCCAAGGGCCTCCGGCCAAGGGCCCCCCCAACCCCCCCAAGGGCCCCCGGGCCAAGGGCCCCTGAGGCAGCGGCCCCCGAATTCAGGGCTAGATTCAGGAAACCCCAAATCAGCAAAGGCCTCTACGGCCCTGACGTGCCGAAGGCCCGAAAAGGACCGAGGCTACCTCGAACCCCAGCTTAAACCCTAACACCGCAAAACCCTGCGAAGGCCTTCAAGCAAATAAGGGCCTCTACGGGCCCTCACGTGCCGAAGGCCCGAAAAGGGCCGAGGCTACCCCGAGCCCCAGCTTAAACCCTAGCGATTGAAATACTCATTGGCGAAAAACAACTAAAAGGTTCCCTGACCTTCAAATGAATAAAGCCTCTACGGCCCCCTGACACGCCGAAGGTCCGAACAGGGCCCCGAGAGACCCCAAGAGCCACCAAAAGGCTTCAAAAGACTTCAAAAGGCCCCCTAAAAGAAGGGGGACCCCAGGATGCCCGTACCCGCAATGAAAAATGCGATTTTTTTGTACTGAAATCGATGGTTTTGGGCACCCCTTCATTTTACCCCAAGGGCCAGGAAAGCCCCCAGGAAGCCCCCAAAAGGCCCCAAGAGCCACCAAAAGGCTTGAAGCCCTTAAAAGGGGAATCCAGGAGCAGGCACAAAGGGTTTCCCTGACCTTCAAAAAAATAAGGGCCTCTACGGGCCCTGACACGCCGAAGGCCCGAAAAGGGCCGAGGCTACCCCCAACCCCAGCTTAAACCCTAACAGCGCAACTTTAAAAACATCAAAGCAAGCATCAGGGCACAAGAAAATAAATTCCATAAACCCTAAACCCTAATAGAGTATAGTTTGGGTGGCCGGGGTGGGTTGACGGGCAACGCGAGCGCGCGGCCCGGGGTGTTTCACACCCGAGCGCGCGCCCTCACACACCCTAAACCCTAAACCCTAAACCCTAAACCCTAAACCCTAAACCTTAAACCCTAAGCCCTGAATCGCCTTGCATGGAGCGCTCTCCACTCGAAGGATTCGCATCGGGACGCAGTTGCTTGGATGGCGAGCTGGCTCATTGTCCACGTTCCGGTCTTCCTCGATTGCTAGCCCTTTCAGCATTTGTTGGGATCTGCTGGCGGTTGCCTTTTTTTGTGGATGCGGCTGTGCGTCCTATGTCCTATGCCGCTGACTTGCGATGGAACGACGCGCTCTTTGGAAACTGGACGCAGTGCAGAAATTGGAAGCGATTGAGGAAACCAGAATTCAGGAACTCCAGCATTCAGGAAACTGGCTTTATGTGATGCCGGAAACCGCGATTCAGGAAACCAAGCGATTCCGGAACAGCTTTACGCGATTGAGGAAATCACGCGATTCAGGAAACTGCCCGACTCAGGAAAGGATGGGTGGGGTGGGGGTGGGGGTGGGGGTTGGGGGGGTTTGGGGAGGGATGATATCGTTCAGCTTTCTGAAAACTTTGCGATTTCCGAATTCGCGGTTTTCCTAATCTGCGCTTTCCAGCTTTCCGGATCCGCGGTTTCGAGCTTCCCGACTCCGTGGTTTCCAGTTTCCCGAATCTGCAGTTTCCAGTTTCCCGAATCAGGTGTTTCCTGTTTCCGAATCCTGCTTTTGAATCCTCTGCTGACCCGGGCGATGTGTCTTGCCTTGGATCATGCAATGCCGTCAAGTCTGGCATTGCCAGTGGAGAAGATAGTGAGAAACCTGAAGCCACAGACAAGAGCTTCGGTGATCAGGGCTCAAAATGTGCTCAGTCAACTCCACATTCTCCATGTCATCAAGTGGTTTTCGCCGGCATTTATGAGCTGAGGTTGGGGGGTAAATGGTGTTGTTTTCAACACCTGGACCTCTTTCCGACACGATCCCAACGGTACCTGTCGCTTGGTGGACACCGCTGACTGGCGGACAGGATTCGGGGTTGCAGCACTTTGAATCACTTTCTGCAGCACTCAGAAGCACTGCGTGGGACCATCTCTGCGCATGCTACCGGTCGTCAGAGTCATCGCGCTCGCCTGCCGGTCTCGTAGGCAAAGTTCAGATCAGAGAGCAGTGCCTACTGATCTGCTGTAGGTCTGGCAGATCGTTAGGTCCTTTTGTCTGCGAGTGACGGATGCAGATCCCACTTCACCTCGTCCGAAAAGGAAGGTATCGGTTAGCATAGGTCGTGCCCCGTTCCGCAATGATCAAGTGCGCAGCTTGACAGGAGCTCGTGCAGACTGGGCGGCGTCTGAGTTACAGCAGCTTGCGGATCTCCGTGAAAAGGCACGAATGCCCTCACAGTCGACATCCCGGTGTGACGCAGTCTCGCAGTGTCCGCGCGCGCAAGCCCACACAATGCCATCACCAACCCCCCACTGCGCCAAAATGGCCCTGTTGGCTTCAAATCTGGACTCAGTCACCGTCAAACCGCCAATAAAACTAATGTTAAAGCAAGGACACTCAAAGCTCCAGATTTCCCTTTCTCGACTTAAAGTCTCCTCGTCGGCCTGCGTTCCACAGGCCCACTGCCTCCCGTGCGCGGCCACCTCGCAGCCATCGGTCCTGAGGCTCTCAGTGCCTTAGGGGGCCCGTAGTTTGGTGGCCCCATTTTTCGCTGGCCCTGGTCTAGCCGTCTGTTCTGCTCTATTCAGTGTGATTCACTCATATTCGTTCTGATTTGAAAGCCTAAAGTGAGTTGTAAGGTCAGGTCACCAAGTGACGCCTCGACGCATCACCTGTGTATGGTCAGCCCAACGAAGCTTTGACTAGCTCCATCTAGGTACCCAGTGTTTCCCAGCCATCCCAACCTTGACTGCCCCTGCATATCCGAGGTTCTGCTCTGACGAACTTCGAGGTAACAGTCACGGAGCCAATTGCTTGAAACGGTGAACCGAGCTTTCACGTTCTAAATTTCCTTCTTCAACATATATAGGCTCACTGATTGAAACTACGCAGAAAACACAGCTGCATTCCCGAAGAGTCATCCACAGCAAACTCCGTAGCGCCACACATCTGGACAGGCCACGGCAATGTCGTCGAACGGTGTTTGAGCTCACTCGGCATGACTTTGCAGACTGCATGCCCTTATTGGTTCGTTGGGTAGGAGTTAAGTCTCTGTAGAGGCAGGACAAATTCAAAGGCCGATCTTTGCTACAGCTTTCTTGTTTCGAGTTGGATGGTATTCTTTCTCCGCGTTGGGGTTTGCTGACATCCTTCTTCCCCTTCCGCACCAATGGGGATTCGGCTCCAGTGACTAAACGTGTTCTGTGCCTTGACCACAAGGTCCATCACAAGCCTGCTCCTATGTACTGCACGATGGTCTGCCAAAGATCTGTGCCCGTGCGTAAGTCAGCCGGATCTGAACAAGTTTCCTACCTACAATGTGTCATAATGCGATGCGATAGGTGGGTGCCAAGTGGCCGGTTTGTAGTCCCTACTGGAGAAGGCTATCTGAGCCATGGAAGCATCGTGACATTCGCAAAAATCCTCCGTGCGTGGCAACAGCCTTGCTCAACAAAGTCTATCAGCGAACATGTCCACGCCGGGCATGGCCAGGAAATCGCCGGCGGCACACATCTGAGCCTGAACTCCCAACAAACTGCCAAAAGTCAGTGATGCTTCGCGACAGGTTCCACCGCGAGTGTTTCAAGAAGAAGCGCTTGGCGGCAAAGCCCAAGGCATGAAACCTGTTTTCTCTTCGGTGTGGGGCTGTTAGATTTCATAGTCAACTCTGCTCCTTCACTTTCGTGCCTTCTTTCCCAGGCCTGGAGCCTGGAGTGCCCACCCTCAGAGAAGCGCGCGGAGGGTCCCGGGACTAAAACCCGCGGCGAAGTATCCGTAAATGGAGACGCTTGCCATCCGGCGCCTCGGCAGAGGGGCCCAACCTGGGGTGGTCGCATGCGCATCGCAGGAAAAGGCAAGCCAAAGTCATGCGTCGCCTCCAGGCGATATGCTGTCGGAGGATTCCCAAGAAGCCCGGGGGTTCGAGCACGGGGGTGTCTCAGCAGGGGTTGGGGCTGACGGGAAGGGTGCCAATGCTACTTGTCTGCAAAGCCCAGGATGGCTCCTAGCCGCAGGATGGGGACGATCGACGAAGGTAGTTTCTAGTCTCCGACGCGGCACGGAATGTACAGTAGGAACGCTGCGCAAACGTGGCTTTCCCTGTGCCCTGCGCAAGCATGCTTCCAGATGCGTCCACTTCCACCAACAATGAGAACCGTTGCTGTTTCTGAGCAGGCCCAGGGCGAGCTAACATTTGATGCCTTCCTGGCCCTCGTCAAGGAGCCTGTTTGGCATGTTGTGCAAATCCCAGCGCGCTTTGCCAGCGTGTGCCTGTGCAGGAGCGGCTGGTAGGGGAGGGTCAAATGCCAAAGCGCTGGGCTCAGGGTGTGGAGACGGGGAGCAGTCTTGATGAGCCATATGGTTATTTGTATCACTTCCTTTATGTTCGGAAACCCCCATGATGAATGACATCTCTTGGCACTCTCTGGGCAGATCTGAGGTACGTGAAGCTTCTCAAGGCTGTCAAGGATCACGCCGGTCAAGGTGCGATCGCCCAGCAGCTTGGCTGGAGTGCCTGTGGGTCCTGAGTCCCCAAACATCCATTTCAATCCTAGCATTGCGCTCGGCCCTTCTGCTTGCATTCCGAGGCTCCTGGCTGGTCATCCGGACCTGGTCGCGCAGATCCCCACGCCCAAAGCCAAGGCCAAAGCTGCAGGCCCTCCGAAGTCTGCAGGCCCTCCGAAGGCTGCAGGCCCTCCGAAGTCTGCAGGCCCTCCGAAGGCTGCAGGCCCTCCGAAGGCTGCAGGCCCTCTGAAGGCTTCGGAGAATGCGCGACCCGCCCCACCTGCTGCACTGGCGACCGCGGCCGCGCCGGCCGCGCTTGCCGCGCCCACCGCGTCCAAGGAGCCTCAGATTCTCTGAAGGGGCCAAACAGTGATGAAACGATGGCAACGATGAGAGCTGTCAGCTTGGTTTACGGTCCCGGGTACGGTTCAGGGTAGCTCGCACACCTACCCGGGAAAATGATGGCTTTTTGGGTCGAAGTCATGTCGAACTTATACAGAGCTCACGCATGTGTGTAGGATTGATCGGTTCTGGAACTTCAGGGGCCGTGGATAAAAATGCGATCTTCGCCAGACGTTTCGTAGCCAGCAGAAATAGCCGCTCTCTGCCGCCCCTAACCTGCGTAAGTGGCGCAACAAGGTTCGATCAAGTACCCAAGCTTGTGCGTCAGTGCATGACAAGGAGAAGCAGCTACAGCCGGCCAATTCTAGCGTCACAAAGGAGGATGCTGGCACCACAAGGCAGGTGCATTTCTCGATGTGTGCAGCGTTGAGAGAGGCCATGCCTTTGCATTTCCGTCATTGTCTTTTTTTGTCCCCGGTGCACTTTTGTCACGAACCTTTCATCCGTCCTCAATGGGATGCTGAGATGGCGCCAGGCCGAAGAAGCTTGACGTGGATGCGGAAGTCTTGAAGCCGCTGCAGAATCTGGCCACCACAGCGGGGCTGGTGCGCCTCGCGATGCGCCGTGCCCGACCGACTCAGAGACTACGTTTGCTGCGTTATCTGCAGGGCATCGCCAAGAAGCCTGACCGAAACTGCAACGGACAGGTATTCCTCATTCAACGGTCCTCAGCTGATTTCAACCAGGTCGTCGAGACAATGTTGGCCAGACTGACAGATCTTGGTCCTGACAGCCTTGTTCAACGCCTGGCTCACATATGTGCTGTGAGAGACTACTTCACCACCTTTGAGCACGAGGACCGCGAGATCTATGATCCCTCCGAGTCAGACATGCTAGCTGCCCGTGCTTGGAACGAGGGTCGCCTTCAGCTGGCCATGGAGGCTGGCATCCAGCCACTGTTTGTTGATGACCCTGGTGAATCTCTGGAGCAAAGTGGCTACGTGAAGCGGGCGAAAGCTTTGGGCTACCGGGTCAACTTCGAGAACCTGCACTGACAAGAGGCACTTTCTGTGCATGTCTGTGCTCTGCGAGGTGAGCGGCACTTCGAAACAGAGCTCGGCGCAAAAGCTGGGAGCCCTTCTGCCTCGGAGGTAGACTCCGCTCCTGTGCCAGTGCAGAATGTGTTACCAACTCATTCTTGTTGCTTGCTTCCGACACCGAGTGGTTCCACATGAGCTAGTTTTCAGTCGTACTTGTAGGGATCAGTATGCAGCATCCGCAAAGACTCATCTGCAAATAGGCCCATCTTTCGAGGAGGCACACAACTCGCAGCCAAAACTAGAAAAAAGTGCCCTGAGAATGGGGCTGAGGAGGTCGAGGGCCTCCTGAGGGGGTTGTGGAAGCCATGCTGGCCCGAGTCCTTATCCCGGAGAGCTCTGTCGTGGAGGCCTCAAGATACCTTGGCTATGGAGGCGCGGAAGGGCGACAGTTGCGGCGTGTTCTAGGCCAACCCAGCAGCTGTTTGCATCCCTTGTTTTGCCCAGGCAGCCCACGACATGCGGTTGCTTTGGCCACGGTTCCTCGTTGCAATTAGCATGCACGTCGCTTGCCATGCCGGCCCTGCATGTCGATCTAGATTGAGGGAGGGGGCAGGTCCTGGGCAAAAGAAGCATATGTGCCATCATGTGGTAGCTGAATGCCTTCGAGGCACGTGCAGCATGAACTAAGGTGCTACTGCCGCACGTTCCTCCATCATCTCTGCTCGAGGTTCACTGCGCTGCACGCAAGGCGGGCAGCACATGCCCTTCAGCAACGATCGACACCTCTTGCACTGCCGTAGATTCCATACACCGACATCTCCAGTTCCTGAACCCCAAGCCATCAACCCTCAACACTAAACCTTAAACCCTCAACCCTCAACCCTAAACCCTCAACCCTAAACCCTCAACCCTAAACCCTAAACCGCCTCGGCCTGGCCCAATGCAGCTCCCGGAGAGGAGGGACGTTGGGGGGGCCTGGGGAGGCGGGGCCTGCACCGTCTGCTCCCACACACCTCTTGCCTACAAAACAGACCCATGTCAAGGCAAGAAAAGGCCAGATAAATCCATTTGGGGAACCAGCCAGCTTGCGCATCTCCAAAACACTTTTGTTCTGCAAGCTTTTCAATGGATACCAAATTTGTCATGTGTTGTGGTCTTCCATTGGTGTCCATGGCCCTTTTGTTGTATGGTGGGTACGCAAGGTTTTAGGGTGTGGGGTTTCACGAGGGTTTGAAAGTCATAGGGTTTGGGTTTCAGGGTTTTAGGGTTTAAAGGCCTTCGCAACTGTCAGCGCTTTTGGAACCAGAAGTCGATACGAGGTTCCAAAGATGACAACAGTTGCGAGGATTGCGGGCCAAGGGGGGTTTGCCTGAATCTCCAGCATTGCCTGGTTGCATTGGTGAACTCGTGCCAAGCAACTGGCGAACAATGGCAGCAGCGGGAGGGCAATTGCTTTTCTGCAAAGGGTTGTTCCACGAAGCCACGATCTTTCAAGCGCACTCGAGTCGGTCGGCTCTAAGACTCCTTCTACGCCCTGCCCACAGAACGCGCAGACGATATGCATGGCGCATCACACGGCATAATCAGAAAGGCCCCCGCTGGTATCTCCCCTGCCGAAGTGTTTACCATAAGCGCCAGCCTTAACACATGCCTTGTTGTTTTGTATTTTCAACAAAGCAACAAAGGACGAACAAAAATCACATGTAGCCAGCAGGGCGTTTAAAGGAGCAGCGAAAAGATGGACTACGCATCCCAACCGGGCCTCGGTGACGAGGAGTTTCCTGGATTTCCTGCGGATGAGGCTCCCGAGCAGTGCCCAGATTTGCGCGAGCACAACTCCGTGATGGCGGATGTGCTCAAGAAGGACCCCAGCTTGTACGACAAGCTCAAGGGCCTGAAGACATCCAACGGTGTGAGTTTGGCCAAATGTATCAAAACTGGCATGGACAACAAGGGACATCCCATGATCAAGACAGTGGGTATGGTTGCTGGTGATGAAGAAAGTTACGAGGTTTTCAAGGACCTGTTCGACCCTGTCATTGATATCCGCCATGGTGGGTACAAGCCTGAAGCTAAACATCCCACAGACTGGGACTGCTCCAAACTGAGCAGTACTCAAATAGACCCAACCGGAATGCACGTGATCTCCACCCGCGTGCGCACGGGAAGATCTCTCCGTGGCATCCGCCTCCCTCCCAGTTGCAGCAAGGAGGACCGTCGCGAAGTGGAGCGCGTTGTCGTTAACGCTCTTAAGTCGTTGACTGGCGAGCTGGCAGGTGATTATTTTCCTCTTGCGGGGTCTCAGTCTTACACAAAGAAGCCCGGTGGGATGACGCCTGAGCAGGAGGAGCAGCTGAGAAAGGATCGTTTCCTGTTCCAAGAGCCGGACTCCACGCTGCTTCGGTCCTCCGGTTCGGGCCGCCAGTGGCCTGATGCGCGGGGGATCTTCATCAACGAGGCGAGTAATTTCATTGTTTGGGTGAACGAGGAGGATCACATTCGCATCATTTCGATGCAGACGGGCGCCGACATGAATCAGGTCTTCTCTCGCTTCTGCAATGCTGCCCAGGTGGTTCAGGAAGCCGTCAAGGAGCAGGGATGCGATTTCATGCACAACGACCACCTCGGCTACATTCTGACTTGTCCCTCCAACCTGGGCACCGGTCTCCGTGCTTCTGTCATGATGAAGCTGCCCCTCCTATCCCTGCGCCCTGATTTCAAGACCATCTGTCAAAAGTTGAGACTTCAGCTCCGTGGCGCTGCGGGTGTGGACTCCGCCTCTTCTGGAGGTGTTTGGGATATCTCCAACTTGGACCGCCTGGGAACTTCCGAAGTTGACCTTGTGAACATCACAGTCGAAGGATGTGCCAAGCTTGTGAAGCTGGAAGAAGCCCTCGAGAAGGGCGAGGCTATAGAGTCCCTTCTTGCTTAATCGCCAGGGTAGGTCCCTGTGTCCGAAACTCTTGTCCACCTAATCCCCCTTTCTTCACACATGGACAGGCCAGGGTAGGTCCCTGTGTCCGAAACTCTTGTCCACTTTCAGCTCTAAATCATTGGCGATCGGAACGGCGGTTTTAAAAAGGGTCCTTGATCTTGGGGAAGAGCATGGTCTTGTTCACAGTCTACAGTCAAACTCCTTCGGAGATTGGGGGGCACCCGCAGCTTTTGGCTCCGCCACCTCAACATGTCCTTCAACCGTGGCAAGGATGGTGCAAAGGAGGAGGGCTGCTTCTATGGCTGGGTCATCGTGTTTGCTTGCATCCTCTGCAAGATCTTCAAGGTGCAAGGCCTCGACCTAAGTCATGTTGGTTCCCACCTGCTTTAAGCCCCTTTCTTTTTACAGGCTTAACATGGCCTTGTCAGCGGAGTATTTGGATGATGCATATCTGCATCTAAGATCATCTAAGTGCAAAGGAAGTTGAATCTATTGTCGTCATAGTAGTTTCCACCGGATTCAGTGAAGCGTAAAAAGACCAGTGACAAAAGCGGCATTGAGTTTATGAACTTTCAGGAGAAAACAAGGTGATGACCTACACGGTGCCTCACTTGCTGGAAGATTTTGAGCTCTCTCATGCTCATCTTGGTGGCTTCTTCTCAGCAGCTACCATCATGGCTGGCCTATGTCAGCCCCTGCTCGGCTGGGCCGTAGACTACTTCGGCGGACGGGTGTGCATCTCCCTGCTGCGGCTCTTCCTGGTTAAGGGGTGGCAATGAAATCATTCAAGTTTCCGAAACCCTAAACCCTAAACCCTAAACCCTAAACCCTAAACCCTAAACCCCATACCCCAAACCCTCAACCCACATGGGAAACCATTCAAGAAAGACCCCAGGCAAGTTGCCATCAGTGCCTCACTCGCAGTCTTTGCCACTTGGCAGTGCCCCGAGAATAGGATGATGCTTCGTGTCGAGGCCAGAGCACTTTTTTTTCATCCTTATTTTTATTTTACTTTTATTTTCATGTTCATTTTTAGTTACATTTTTACTTAAGATATATTTTTCAATTTTTTGTTTCTATGTTTCCAGGGCATCGTTTGCGCTTTCTTTGCATTCAAGGCCTTTGCCGGACCTGGGTTGAAATTCGCTGTGTTTGGACAAACAGTTACCGTCGGACTCTCTAACACGTTCGCGGGCATCTTTGCATTAGTATGCCTAGACATTGTTCTTGTGCCAGGAAGCCCAAGCCAACCTTCAGAGTTGATATCGCACTTCCCCGCATTTCCAGTGTCAGGCAGTCTTCATGTTCTTCTTCTTGCGGCTCATGTGCCTGGGCGCGGGGGAGATCTTTCCCAGCGCATGCGTGCAGCAATGGTTCCACCAGAAACGCGGCCGCGCCATCGGTGTTATTTTCACCGCCCAGTGGCTTGGCCAGGCTCTCTTTGGCAGCTTCATTGCTTTTGTCGTGGAGCGCTATAACTGGCACCAGGCCGCTTTGGTGGGAGCGGTTTTGAATCTCTCGTTGGCGCCACTGAGCTTCTTGCTCCTTCGGAGGAGCCCTGAAGTTTGTGGCTTGCGGCCAGATGGGATCATAGAAACAGCGGACGTGGAAATGGAAGAGGCAAATGCCATGTGTGAGCCATTGACGGAATTGAAGGACGCGGAAGCCTCGAAAGTGAAGGAAGTGCAGGAAATGCCTGAGATGCGGACTGACATTCGCCAGTTTTGGGCACACTTTGGGCTTACCTTCTTCTACGCAATGATGTTTGGCGGCTCCGATTTCTACATGGTGGAGATCGTCGCAGAGTCATCGGCTGAAGTGTCGGTTCCCTGGCTGATTTTCACCCCGATGGCAGTGGTCACTTCGATCTCTCTTCCTGCTGTCGGCGAGTTGATGGATGCATACAGCAGCCTGACGTGGCTGCCGGCCGCCCTGCTGGCACTCGCAGGCATCCTGGCATCCATTTCTACGCTGATCCTCTCCTCGATCGGAAGTTGGTTCGGAGCTGTTTGCTACGGGGTGCTGCGTGGGATCTGCACTGGAATCTTGCAGAGCTTGCTCCTGGCAGGGCTGAGTTTTTCGGCCCAGGGGGTCAGTCGAGCTGAGATCGGTCGCATTCTGGGCTACAATACTTTTTGTAACTTACTGGGTACAGGAAGCTCGCCCTTCTTGCTGGGCACCTGCCGTGATCTCTCTGGCGGCTTCACCGTCGCGCTGCGGCTGATCAGCATCCCTCCGCTGCTTCTGGGAGCTTTTTTTGCGAGTCAGGCCCGGCTTAAGAAGCCGGCTTGACATCATACGACCCAATGGCTTGATGCCGTTGATGCCTTGACGTCGAAGACGAGCAAGGCATAGCATTGCAGATTCACGAAGAGATCCACTCCGACAGGCCGCATATGCCGGGAAATCCTGGCTCAAGCCATGACGGCCGGCGCAGCTCTTGCATTACGCTTGTCGAGTGAGGCCAAAAAAAGGGGGGGCCCGGCTTTGCAACCTAGACAACCTTGGGCCCGGGGCCTCGGTGGATTCTCCCATTCTTGCACGGCACTGCAGTGACAGGTGCCTGCGTTGCAGCGCTTGGCCGCAGAAGCTTGACTGCCTTCTGAGCACAGTCAGAATCCCCCCTCGGGATCCTATAGGCAAACTTGTGATACATTCGGGCTACTTGGGGTGGTTCTGAGCCTTGAACGTCCTAACCCAAAACCCACAAAAACCCCTAAACCCTAAACCCTAAACCCTAAACCCTAAGCCCTAGGAATTTGCGGGGGGGGGGGGGGGTGCACCAGTGCCGAGGAAGAACCAAAGCTTCGACTGGCGCCCGCCGACATCCACCAGGGTGGGGGTAGAACGTCCCTAGCCTTTGCACAAAGTCAGAAAGGTTTAGGGTTTAGGGTTTAGGGTTTAGGGTTTAGGGTTTAGGGTTTAGGGTTTAGGGTTTAGGGATTTAGGCGTAGTTTTCCCAGGGTACATTCCTGTTGGGAATTCAGACTCAGTTCTCTCTTTCCAGGCTCCAGGCTCTATTCCTGTTTGGAAGGTTTCTCCACAGCCTCGTCGCAAGTGTCACGAAGCAGGCAGATGCCTTGGATCCCGGCTCGTGCGGTTCAAAGGTTTAGGGTTTAGGGTTTCGGGTTTAGGGTTTAGGGTTAGGATTTAGGGTTAGGGTTTAGGGTTTAGGTTTTAGGGTTTAGGGTTTCGGGTTTCGGGCGTCGATTCGGCCGAAGTGCCCAGGATTCGCTTCCGCTGCGGGGAGTGCTGCTGGACCTACGGGGTCTCGCCCCTGTCTCAGGGCCTCCTGTTTCATGGTCTTGTAGGGCTAAAGGCTGCAGTATTACAGTGGCTACTTGGAGGTTCATGCTAGTTATAGCTGTAATTAGAACCCAAGTCTAACCCTATTAGGGTACTTAAGGGTTATAACTACACTTCTAAGTTGTAAGTACCCTGAACCTCCAAGTAGGTGATGAAAATACAGCCTCTTTTGTGAAGCTCGTGCTGCTGAGGGAAGCCGAGGTCTGAATCAAAGTGCCCTAAAGCGACATGACACTTCCCAGGTGGAAGGCCATCCCAGACTCCTCGGCCCTCGTATGCCTAGGCCCTAAACCCCTCAAACCCTCAACGCTTCAAAACCTAAACCCTTTAACCCCTTTAACCCTTCAAGGCCCAAACCCTTTAAAGCATACACCCTAAACCCTTCAAGGCCTAATCCCTGAACCCTTTGAAGCCTGAACCCTGATAAGCCCTAAAAACCCTAGACTAGGCCTTGCCAGCTTGGGCCGTCACGTGGCTGCGGAAAGCCTCGCAGCAGGCGCTGCCCCCCGTTTGAGGTCAGCTTTACGGGATGCTTTACGAAAGGGTTTACAAGGGAAGGGGGATTCCGACAGTTGGGGTACCCTACTGGGCGGTTCCTAGAATCAGCATCACAGGGGTTTTATTGCGGGTCCTTTTTGGGAGGTTCCTACAGCCAGGGTTTTGTGTAGTTTGGGAGTACAACAAGAAGGGTATCCCCCATAATGTTGACTTCACATTAGTGGATCCACCCGCAATTGTAAAATCCCGCTGCCGGAACACAATAGTGTAGCCCGCCACAATTGTAAAATCCGACCCGGGAAATCCGGGTTTTACGGGCGTGGTGCTACTACCTAATACTAAAACTAATAGTACGTCCTACCAGGATTTAGGCGAACATTATTGAGGAGGCCCTGGCCGGAGAGATTGATCAATGAAGGGGGGGGTGGGGGGTGGGGGGGGGGTTTATTAATGCGAAGTCAACATTATTGGGAAAACGCCAAAATAAGGGTGGCAACGGGGAGCTCCTTGACCCTTGAAAGCTGCTACTGAAGCCCTGAAGTCCTCCACAGGGGAGGGCTTACCCGAAACCCTAAACCCTAAACCCTAAACCTTAAACCCTAAACCTTAAGCCCTAAACCCTAAACCCTAAACCCTAAACCCTAAACCCTAAACCCTAAACCCCAAACCCTATATCGGGTGTTGAACTTTGGGTATAAGCTTAGGGTTGCAGCCTGGTGCACCCGGAGGAGCTGGCCGAGCTCTTTCAGAAGCATGGAGAGCAAGAGGCAGAAAGCTGCTTCTTGCCCTTCTGAGCAGATGTGTTTCATAAATATAGACCAAAGGATCAAAGATTATCTTTGAAGTCCTTATTTAAAGATAAAGTAACAATAACATTTGTTGCAAGATACTGATACTGCAAGACTTGCTGCCTTGCACTTCTGCGATCATCCCCACCACCCGCCTGAACCTTCCTTTGCCCTGGCCAGGACGACTTGCTCTGGGCACGCTTTGCGCAGGTGCCATTCAATTTGTGTGGCAGTGCGTTCTGTGTAGCTGTTCTTCTATCTCTCGGATAAACTGATAGGTGGTGGCTGTGCAGAGACAGACGTGGAACTTGCAGGCACCGGGGTTTCTTACACTCAGCTTTCGAGAGTGGAGACTTCGGCAAGTGCAGTGTGATGGAACAAGCCAGTTTCATGTCTAGTTTCACAGATGAACGATGTACTTGGCTTCCACAATCTCCTTCTTGATCTCATTTTTCCTGGGCTTCTCATGGCTTCTCCAGATATTAATCAGCCTTGTGCGGCAAACTAGCAGACGGACATACATTCTCCAGATGCGTCTTTCAGAACCCGAACAACGCATCCAGGCCATTTGAGGCCCCTGGGAGCGACGTAAGAATGAGAATGATCAACAAGCAAGCTGCGTGGAACTGTCCAGATTTCTTGGAGTCCAAAACGCGCATAAAGGTCTGTTTCATGTATAGCTTCACAGATAAACGTTGTTCTTGGCCTCCACACTCTCCATTTTTCATCCCATTTCTTCGTCTTCTCAAGAGTGGCCGACATCCCGTAGCGGAAGGGTGATGACGGAACCTGCAACTCCTCGTGCGTTTGCCTTGCATCACGGAGAGGCCAACTCGGACATTGCAGGCCTTCTCTGCGTTGCCATGTTCCGTGTGCAAGATTCAGCCCCTAAACTTGGGATGTTCCCCCTTATACTAACAGTCCTTAATAGGGATTTTGATAAGGGGTATTACAATCCGTATTAAGGACTGTTAGTCTCAGGGGGAACGTCCCAACCCTAAACCCCTAAACGTTCTGGTTCGCCTCAAAGGCCTCTTCCGGAGTGCTGCAGCGCTGCTGAATGACCCTGTCGACTCCTGAGCTTGACAGCGCGTCTCTTACAGGCTGCTTGCCAGCAGTATGATGTTGATGATCTTCTACACATCTCAACGAAATGCGATGGGAGCGCCTGGCAGCTGTCCAGAAGATTACCCTGCAATGTCCTTGAGTTCTAAACGCTAAGGCCCCAAATCCCCAACCCAAGCCCTAAACCCTAAACCCCCAAACCTTAAACCCTAAACCCCGAACCCCTGAACCCTAAACCCCAAAACCCTACACCCAAAACCCTATCCCTCAAGCCCTAAACCCTTCAACCCCAGAACCCCTAAACCCCCAAAAGCCCTAAACCCTTAAACCCCTCAACCCCTAAACTCCCAAAACACCCTTGGCTTCAAGGCGGGACCTGCTCCGGATGCAGCGCTGAACGCCCTGAGAGCGGCGCTCAGAGAGGCGCAGAGCGCCGCGAACGGAAGTTTCCTCTGTTTTTTTTTGGGTGGGGCGGGGGGCGGGTGGGGTTAGGGTTTGGGGTTTGGGGTTTGGGGTTAGGGTTTGGGGGTTTAGGGTTTAGGGCTTAGGGGTTAGGGTTTAGGGTTTAGGGGTTAAGGTTTGGGGTTTACTGTAGGGTTTAGGGTTTAGGGGTTAGTGGTTAGGGGTTAGCGGTTAGGGGTGTAGGGTTCAGGGTTCAGGGTTTAGGGTTTGGCTAGGATTCAGGGGATTCAGGGGGCTTTAGAGGCTTTAGGGGCTTTAACGAATCAGGGGTTGAATTAGGGATTTGGGGATCTAAAGGTTCTTGGCCCCGGAGCTGCCAATGCCTGGACATGGGAGCCTGTGAAGTGGTGTGACATGTGAAGTGGCTGCTTGAGTTTTTGTGAGGCATGAGCTTGCGCTGCTTGTAAGCTTCTTTTCCCGGATTTCCTAAACCCTAAACTGCAAACTCCTACACCCTAAGCTCCGAAACCCTGACCTCCTAAACTCCTACACTCCTAAACCCTAAGCCCCTAAACCCTAAACTCCTAAGCTCCTATGCCCCGAAACTCCCTTACACTCCTAAACCCCTACTGTAAACCCTAACCCCTATTTGGGTGGTTGTCAACATTATGGCCCCTTGTTGGATACCTATTATAATACGGCACCTAATATTTAGGGTACCCCAAAAGGGATCATAATTTTTGACAACCAGCGCCGGAAACCCTAGCCCCAAATTGTCTTGCAGGAGCAGACGGTGGTTCAAGACGGATTGAGAGCCGTGCTGAGCCACCTCGAGGTCATGGCCTTGAGAACTTCGCTCTTTTCTCAGCGTTGAGCAGGGTGCAAGAAGAAGACACCGGCCTCTTAGGGCCTGGGGGTTTAGGGTTTAGGGTTTAGGGTTTAGGGTTTAGGGTTTAGGGAAAAGCCACTTCTGGGCCTGTCCGAAGGCTGAACAGCATGCCCTTGCATCCTAGGGCTTAGGGCTTAGGGCTTGGGCTTTTGGGGGTTCAGGGGTTTAGGGTTTAGGGTCTAGGGTTTAGGGTTTGGGGTTTAGGGTCTAGGGTTTCGGGTTTGGGGGTTTAGGGGTTTAGGGGGATTGGGGGTTTAGGGGGGTTTAGGGGGTTTTAGGGGTTTAGGGGTCTTTAGGGGTTTAGGGTTTCAGGGGTTTGGGCTTCGGCTCCTGGACCCCGCTCTGAGGTCGGGGCGCGGTGCATCTTGCTGTCAGACCGCAGGGACTTCTGCGTGGGCATCCGCCGCTTCCTGCGGGAGAACGAGGCGCCCGAACATACCCCAAGAGCCCCAGAACCCCCAGCAACAAACCCAGACCCATCATATTAAACCCATCATGAAACCCTAATCATGAAATGTAATCATGAAACCTAATCATACAGGCCATCGCTCAACCCATCATTGTACCCATCATATTCTTTCTGAACAGTTCATGGAGGTTGCCAGTTCTTCTCCCGCCTCTGAAGGATGTCGACGAGGAGCTCGTTGCGAGTTGGCGGCCTCACAAGGCCCCCCTCGGGGCGCCCTCGGGATCTTCATGAGCTCCGGGTTGAGGATTTGGGGAGGTTGGGGGGGGCGAGGAATGCAAAGGGTGTCAGGGGGCAGGACAGTTTAATTAGGGCTTCAATTTTCGCGAGAAGGGATGTACACGCTTGATTTTAGGGGGGGTGGGGTGAGCTCTTCGGCTTTGGGCACTCTTCTCGTGAGCCTAAACCCTAACGACTAAACCCTACACCCTAAAACCCAGGTGCCCTCCTTGTTTCCGTTGGCCCAGCGCGGGGAGCAGAAGTGGTGCCTGGCGGAGGCCAGTCCGAGGCTTTCCAGGCTCCCAGCCTCCCGAGTTCAGAAACCCTAAGCAAGACGGACTTCAGAACTGACCATTCCTGCCTAGTGTTACTTCTAAGGACTGCTGCTCGAACTCCTACGGTGTTTCCTTTGAGGTAGCCTTGTCAGAGGGTCGAAGACCTACAGGAGAAGTGGGCCTTGGGCCCCCAAAAGGGGCTGCGTGGGTTTAGCAAGCTCGGTACACTGCTCTATATGGGTATATATACCGTATTGGGGTCCCTAATATAAGGAAATCCTACCTCATCATTATTAGGGGTCCATTTTAGGGGTCCCTTTATTCCCATAAACCCCCATATGGCACTGCTTGCGGAGCCATTGCTTGGATGATTTTTTTGCCAGTAGCTTCGTGCAAAGCAAGCTGGGGAGCTGCCACAGGTGACGCACTCGGCAGTAGATCCGATGTCGGCCGCCGCAGCCCTCTCGGCAAAAGAGGCCCGGGTGCGCGGGGGTTTTAGGGTTTCGGGTGTTTTTCTTTCAAGCTGCCTCTTGGCAGGTCTTTGTGATGGAGAAGCGGTTGCACGGACCCCGGGCTTGCGCCATGTTTCTCTCGACATCGTGTGATTCTACGTGTGCCAGAATGCTTGGTGATCGTTCATTCCTCCCTCTGTGAAAGGCGCAGTTCGCGGCCGCGGCTGCCTGTGCAAGGTCAGCTGCACAGTGTTTCTGAAGCTCCTGCATAGAGGGCAGCAAGAATGGGATTTAAGACGGACGGGAACCCAGACACGCAGCTAAATGTGGCCGCAGACGTGTGGCCCAAGGAGCAGCACACGACTGGCTCACCAGGTTTGCCACGCTCTCCCATCAAGATGACGCAGACTCTCCAGGAAAAGGCGCCCCTATCTCCATCTCGCTTGATGAGGCAGTCGACCTCCACGCTCAAAATTCGTGAGAAGCTTGGCTCGTGAAAAGTTGTAAGCGCTTGTGCGCGGCTCCTCAAGAGGCTGCACAGGCCAGGGGAGGTGCACGCCGGCGATGTTTTATTGGAGCTTCCAGCCCCCAGCATGGTCGTAGGTTCCGTAGCGGGTCCACTGTGGGGGGCATCGGTGGTGGAGAAGACACAAGAGGTTGCATAGGGGAGGCCGGGATCCCAACAGGGCTCGAAAGGCCGGAGGGCCTCACCCCCCAGAAAGGTCAAAAAGCCAAAGAACCCGGTGAGAGGCGAGAATACCATGAAGCAAGGGGGAGAAAGGAGGCAAAGGAGGTGGGGTTGTGTGCTTTTGCACCAAAGGACCGTACTCGGGCGGCCTGTGCGAAACCTTCGGTGCGCGAGTTGAGAAGCTTAGGGTAGGTTGGTGGGAGCCGCCAAGAGCAAAGGGATGGCTCCCGCCCCCACGAATTTCCTGTGTTGGTTCCGTTTAGTTCTTTTCTGGTTCGGGGATCCTTTGTGCGACGTCGCGGGCTCAGCCAGCTCAGCTGAGGAGAGCAGCGGCCATCCGCAAGAGCTTCCAGCGCCCGAAGTTCTGGGTGACGGGCTTTGGCTGGTGCCTGGCCGCGTGCGCGGGCGCCGCCAACACCATTGCCTTCAAGTGCTGGAGCCTCTACGCGTCCCATGTGACCGGCAGCACGTCAGCCATGGCGTTCCGTCTGGAAGGCTATCAGCAAGAGGAGAATGGCTCCGAGACGCTGAGAGAGGCCTGCTCTCTGGTGTTCTCATTTCTAGCAGGGGCATACGCGTGTGGTCTCCTCATCGACAAAAACCAGGTTCACTTTATGGGCAAGGCGTTCTACGGCCTGGCTCTTGTTCTGAACTCCATCCTCTTGATCATTGCAGCCTTCATCCCGGGTCGCCTGGTGCCCATATGCTTTGTTGCCGCGGCCAGTGGCCTGCAGAATGCCATGTGCACGTCGCACTTCGGCGCCATCATCCGCACGACGCACGTCACCGGGACGGTCACGGACATCGGCTCCACAATGGGTCGGATCAGCATGATCTACCTCAGGAAGGCCTGCCGCTGCGCCTCGTTGAACGAAGTCGAACGTGCTGAGATCGGCGTGGATGCACGGAAGTTGGCCGTTCTTGCGGGGTTGTGGTCCTTCTACCTGATCGGGGGCCTCATCGGAATTTACATGGAGAATGTGATTCCGGGTCCCCAAGCACTGCTGGTACCAGCCTCCGTCACTGGCAGCATTGGCCTGTTCTACATGGCATGCCGCCAGCTGCTCAAGGACTACATCAAGACGCTGGAGCAGGACCGCTTCTCGGCAGATCTCAAAGAGGCGCAGGCGCGGCTGGCGACGGAAAATATCGACGTAATCCGAGGTCACATCTCCCTAAATCAAGCTCCTTTAGAGTAGCGCCCAAACACAACACCCCTAACGCAGGGAGATTTGTATGCCATTGGGTGTAATATCTTGCAAGCTCTCATAAGTTGCTTTTCCCGTCACAGGATGCCTTGGCCCACATGGGCACGAGGCTCCACGACTTGGAGGCTGCAGACGACAAGCTGGCTCCTTGCAGTAACTGCAGCATGTTGCAGCATAGAGAGGGCCTCGCTATGCCTTGCTGGCATCCCCGTCATGCCCAAAATTCGTCAAGTCCTCTGCACCCCTCAGGTTGTCGAGTTGGACGCGGAGATGGGCCACATGATCGAGGCCCTGCACGAAGTGGAGGCTCGCGTGCTCGCGGCAATTGGATTTCTCCAGTGTTTTTTGGACTTGAAAGCACGTCGGGCATAGCTGGAGACTGGACCAGGCCGACTTCGAGAATGTCTACGGAGAGTCGGGCCGAGAGCTTGCGCGACAGGCGCGCCCAAGCCTGAAGCATTCCCCTCCTTCCAGACCTCACAAAGCGCCGGGAGCCGCGCGTAATCCGAGCTTCCGAAAGTCCACATGCCCTGCGGCCCTACGAAACTGTGGTTCCTTAAGCTCGGAGTGCTGGGTGTTAGCCTATCCTGAGGCGAGCAAAGGCAGCAGGACCGACATGGCCGGCGGGGCCACGGTCGGTGTGTAAGTGAGTTTCTGCTTGGAGGCAGGCATCATGGTCGTGTGTTGGCCCTTGCATATCTTTCTCTGGACAGTGCGACAGTGCGACTTGTGTGCAGGACATGCAGTTGGAAAGTTCTATCAGCAGGCGCTGAAGCATAGATTGCTGAAGCATAGATTGGCTGGCAATGGCCGCGAGGCATAGCCCACTGCAGAACCGTCCGACATGCCTTTTGCAAATGCAAGAATTCAAGTTGCGCCATTTGTAAGCGAAGTGCGCATTGCATTCTTCAAGAGTGCGCAGTTCCGAAATTGGCATGCGAATTGGGGCCAATATTTCTGCTTCCAGGTCGGCGTCCTAACCGCATGAGACGAGTCGGGGCGTCCTAAAGGTACCCCCAGAAATATTGGCCCTGACCCATGTACAGGCAGGCAGTGCTTGTGGCATTGGACGCACGGCCTTTGAGAAGGCAAACAGTCGGGCTAAAGCAGACACGTTTGCACTCGAAACATGATTTTTGTTGGGACATGCTGACAGCACACAGTTTGCTGGGTTCTTTGTTGGCCACCAGCATCCCGGACCTTTCAAGGGAGGGTCAGACCCATGCCGACTGCGGGTAAAGCTGCGGACGTGACGAAAAAGCTCGGATCGAATGCAACAGGGGACCCAAGGGAGGCCTCCGAGGAAATTTTGTCCGACTTGTAGTGCTGCACGAAGAGGCGATCCACCGTCAGCCTGTTGCCGCATGAGAATGGAGAGTTGAGAACTTGACAGGTGTCAGGGGGTGGCTGTCACCGCAGACCTGTGGCCCGAAGAGCAGCACACGACTGGCTCACGAGACTGGCTTGCAGTGTCTGCGCGCAAGATGACGCAGACCCTTCCGCAGGAAAAGGCACCCCTGTCTCCATCCCGCTTGACAAGGCAATCGACCTCCACGCTCAAGACTCGTGAGAAGCTTGGCTTGTCTTATTTCCTGTGTTGGTTCCGTTTAGTTCTTTTCTGGTTCGGGGATCCTTTGTGCGACTTCGCGGGCTCAGCCAGCTCAGCTGAGGAGAGCAGCGGCCATCCGCAAGAGCTTCCAGCGCCCGAAGTTCTGGGTGACGGGCTTTGGCTGGTGCCTGGCCGCGTGCGCGGGCGCCGCCAACACCATTGCCTTCAAGTGCTGGAGCCTCTACGCGTCCCATGTGACCGGCAGCACGTCAGCCATGGCGTTCCGTCTGGAAGGCTATCAGCAAGAGGAGAATGGCTCCGAGACGCTGAGAGAGGCCTGCTCTCTGGTGTTCTCATTTCTAGCAGGGGCATACGCGTGTGGTCTCCTCATCGACAAAAACCAGGTTCACTTTATGGGCAAGGCGTTCTACGGCCTGGCTCTTGTTCTGAACTCCATCCTCTTGATCATTGCAGCCTTCATCCCGGGTCGCCTGGTGCCCATATGCTTTGTTGCCGCGGCCAGTGGCCTGCAGAATGCCATGTGCACGTCGCACTTCGGCGCCATCATCCGCACGACGCACGTCACCGGGACGGTCACGGACATCGGCTCCACAATGGGTCGGATCAGCATGATCTACCTCAGGAAGGCCTGCCGCTGCGCCTCTTTGAACGAAGTCGAACGTGCTGAGATCGGCGTGGATGCGCGGAAGTTGGCTGTTCTTGCCGGGTTGTGGTCCTTCTACCTGACCGGGGGCCTCATCGGAATTTACATGGAGAATGTGATTCCGGGTCCCCAAGCACTGCTTGTACCAGCCTCCGTCACTGGCAGCATTGGCCTGTTCTACATGGCATGCCGCCAGCTGCTCAAGGACTACATCAAGACGCTGGAGCAGGACCGCTTCTCGGCAGATCTCAAAGAGGCGCAGGCGCGGCTGGCGACGTAAAATGTCAAGGTAACCGCACGACGTATGAAGGCCCAAATAGGCTTTAGGGTTTGTTGAGGGCTTAGCGTCAAGCGATCTCTTCCCGCAACTAAGTGGCCCGAGCCGAGCTGCCAGGATTCTCTTTCTTGGGTGTAGCATTCCGCAAGCTCTCATAAGTTGCTTTTCCCGTCACAGGATGCCTTGGCCCACATGGGCACGAGGCTCCACGACTTGGAGGCTGCAGACGACAAGCTGGCTCCTTGCAGTAACTGCAGCATGTTGCAGCATAGAGAGGGCCTCGCTATGCCTTGCTGGCATCCCCGTCATGCCCAAAATTTGTCAAGTCCTCTGCACCCCTCAGGTTGTCGAGTTGGACGCGGAGATGGGCCACATGATCGAGGCCCTGCACGAAGTGGAGGCTCGCGTGCACTTGTGGCTGTTGGATTTCCCGAGTGACCTTCGGACTTGAAAGCACGTCGGGCATAGCTGGCGACTGGACCAGGCCGACTTCGAGAATGTCTACGGAGAGCCGGGTCGGGATCCTGCGCGACAGGCGCGCCCAAGCCTGAAGCATTCACCCCCCTTCCAGACCTCACAAAGCGCCGGGAGCCGCGCGTAATCCGAGCTTCCGAAAGTCCACATGCCCTGCGGCTCTACGGTTCCTTAACGGTTCCTTATATAAGTAAACCCTAAACCCTACACCCTAAACCCTAAACCCTAAACGCTTGAAGTGCTGAGCGTTTGCTGATCCTGAGGTGACCAGAGGCAGCAGGGCCGACGTGGCCGGCGTGGCCACGGTCGGCGTGTAAGTGAGTTTCTGCTTGGAGGCAAGGCTTCATGGTCGTGTCTTGGCTCCCTAAACCCTAAACCCTGAACCCTGAACCCTAAACCCTAAACCCTCAACCCTAAACCCTACACCCTAAACCCTAAACTTGCACATCTTCCTCTGGACACGGCGACCTTGTGTGCAGGACATGCAGTTGTTGGAGTTCTAGCAGCGGAAGCATAGGACTGGCGGGCACTGGCCGCGAGGCATCGCCGACTGCAGAACCTTCCCAAAATACCTTTTCCAATATGCAATAATTCAGGTTGCGCCATTCGTAGCAAAGTGCGCAATCCCATTCTTCCCCCGGGAGCTTGCATCGGTGACTTGAAACCGCTCTGTTGCGCTGGATTAGGTTTGTCGCGAGAACAGTTCCTGAATTCGGCATGTTGCGGTCAACATTGCGGGGGGTCCAAAAGGTGCCTTCGCAAAGTCTGACCCTCGATCCATGTAATCATGTAATTGTAAAGGCAGGCAGCGCTTGTGGCGTTACACGCGCTGCCTTTGATGACAAACAGTCGGGCTAAAGCAGACACGTTTGCATCTGTTGAGAACTTCTATTTTGCTGGGGCATGCCCACTGAACAGTGCATACTTCATGGATTTTGGCATTCGGTGGGCTCCCAGATCTCTCCAGTATGTGAGGGGCAGACCCATGCGTGGCGTTTCGGCGCAGAGAGAAAGAAACCATCGCATTCAGAAAAATCAGAGTGCAGCAAGGCTTCTTTTCTTTGACCGCCTGACCCTAAACCCGAAAAGTGAAGTATGAGTCAAAGCCCTCAAACCCTCAAACCCTCAAACCCCGGCGCACTCAGCTCGCAGAGCTACGACCTTCTGAGCATCGTTTCCTTTTGCGAGCTCAGGCCCGCTGTTCCAGAAGCCTGCGTGCGGAACGGTGCAGTTTGGTGTGCGGCAGCTGGAGAAAGAGAGCTCGGACGTGTGCCTGGAGTGAGCTCTGTAGACCTCTCTAGGGACGAGTTTGCCTTTGTTGTTGGGCACATCTCTATACCCGCTTTGGGTAGATCCCTACTCTTCTTTCAAGAGAAGTGCAGGGCTGCCCGAAGCCCTAAACGTAGAAACCCAGCGCACGTCAGCTTTGACGTTCCGACCAGGCACTCGCAGCCCCTTGTCACTTGCCCATAGAAGTGTGACACCCAGAAGCCTAAGCCCTAAGCTCTACCTGCGCCCCCCCAACTACTCTTTAGTACATGAGGCCTATATACCCTACTATTCCGGTTAGGGGTTTAACCCCTATAAGCCCTAAACCAGAAGGAATCTGGCGCGGCCTCGGCTCAGATCAGATCAGTCAGATCAGATCGTTCAGATCAGGCTCCTGGCTCTCGAGTTCTGGGTACATCTATCGCAATCGCATACGGCTACAGCGCCTCTGTATGTTGCGTCAGTTTTCACGGATTTTTGGTGGGATACTCCTGGACTCTGAGAGCCGTTGCATCTAGCAACTTGGGGGCAGCATCGAACTGGCGTCAGCCAGCATCATCTTCAGCATCAGGCTCGGGAGTGCTCATGGCCAGCTCTGGAAAATAATTGGGTTTAGGTTTAGGGTTTAGGGTTTAGGGTTTAGGGTTTAGGGTTTAGGGTTTAGGGTTTAGGGTTTAGGGTTTAGGGTTTAGGGTTTAGGGTTTAGGGTTTAGGGTTTAATGTTTAGGGTTTAGGGGTATGGCAAGAAGCATTCGCTCTTTTGAGAGTGAGAGCTGGCTCTCCCCCTTGATTGCACCTGCAGGTTATTCGAACAGATTGTTGCGGCTGCACGGGGGCCCAGCTGAGCACCTGGAGACCCCTTGGGCACCCTAAGCTTGATTCAGCAACGAAAGGAGTCCAATGTCCCTTCAAGGAATAGACCTGAGTGCACGTTGCGGACCTCCCTCCCTCCCGCCCCCACCCCACCCCCCCCCATGTCTTGTCGTTAAGGGTTCTAGCTGCTTGAAGATTTAGGGTTTAGGGTTTAGGGTTTAGGGTGTAGGGTTTAGGGTTTAGGGTTTAGGGGCTCCCTGGATAGCGCTTGCATCATGATGCCTCGAGGCTGAAACGAGAGCGAATATGGCTTTTGCAGCTGACAGTCCGGCAAGTGGTCTGAAAAAGGCACCGGGAGCACCTAAACCCTAAACCCTAAACCCTAAACCCTAAACCCTAAACCCTAAACCCTAAACCCTAAACCCTAAACCCTAAACCCTAAACCCTAAACCCTAAAGCCTGGAGCACTTTCCCGCTTCGAGCAGCTGAGGGTTCAAGGTGGCTGCAAGACATCAGGAGCCTTTTCCCGACAATAGCTCGAGTCAGAAAGTCAGGAAGCCCCCTGAACCTTATAATCCTTAAGAGCCTACTTGGAGGTTCATGGGTAGTCAAAATTAGGGTTATAAATATTGTAACTACACTCATAACCCTATTTCGGGTGCTTGCAACCTGACTTAGAACTACCCATGAACCTCCAAACCCTAAACCCTAAACCCTAAACCCTAAACCCTAAACCCTAAACCCTGTACGCCCGGAAAGACAGCTCCCTGCATTCGGGAGGCTATGCCAGCGTTGAGCGGCGAATGCTTGAAGGACGGGAGCTTAACGCCTGGGTGGCTCGTATGCCTTTTTTGCTCCGTTTTGTGAGGTTTAGGGTTTAGGGTTTAGGGTTTAGGGTTTAGGGTTTAGGGTTGAGATCAGGACACTGGTGTCACTGGACCCAATGGGTGGCGTAAGCCGGCAGTGAAAGAAGATGGGACCGGCCCCCAGAGTGGAAGCCGAGGAGGATTCAGTCTGTTGGCCTTGTTGCTTGGACCCCCCCCGCCAGCTAAACCCGAAACCCTAAACCCTAAACCCTAAACCCTAAACCCTAAACCCTAAACCCTAAACCCTAAACCCTAAACCCTAAACCCTGAACCCGAAACTCTAAAGTGCCACGCGCAGGTCTGTCAGCAACAGCAGCAGCACGACCACGGGCTGTGAGCCCTCAGTGTGCGAGGAGAGCGAGGCAAGGCTGCAGACGGGGTGCTGCCATGGGAACCCAAGGGTTTAGGGAAGTCTAAGACCAGAATCCTACTCAGAAGGTTCATGACTACATGAAGGTAGGGTCCTGAGCACCCCCGGAAGTGATCATCCTCCTACGACCCTCATTCCCGAGACTCTCTCGATGCTTCCAGAGAGAGCCTCATAGTTTGAACTCCCGAACTCCATGAGGAAGCCGGGGGTTGGCACTTCTTCATCCTAGGTAGGCCTTGGGGTATGTTTTTCGCATGTTACCGTGTTGTGTGCAAAAGGATTCTGCTGAAGGTTTTTCTTAAGGGGGCTTCAAGGGCCAACTTCGCATCATGAGCTAAGGGGAGGCCCTCTACGAGCCACAGACACTAAAGCTACCTTGTGAGCCCTAAACCCTCAATCCGAAGCCTTCAAAAATCGTGCAGGCCCGAAATCCCCAATACCCCGAAATGGAGTTCTGTCCATTTCTTTGCCATGAAGAAATAGGCAAAATTTTTTTTTCCGATGACTTGTGCGCCTTCTCACGCAGGCAACGAAGGTGGCCCGGGACGGCAGTGGCAGCAGCTCGGGATCACGCACGGAGACGGTGAAGGCACATCTGTGGGTGTTTAAATATGGGGGACCTAACCCCCTAAACTCCCTAAACCCCCTCCTAAACTCCCTAAACTCCCTAAACTTCCTAAACTCCCTAAACCCCCTAAACTCCCTAACCCTAACCCCTAAGGCACATCCCTGCTCTTGTGCAGCTCTTCAGATATTGGTGGGTGTTTAAATATGGGGGACCTCACTCCCTATTGCACTACTTTTTTCGGACACCCGAAAAGTGGTGAACTGCCTAAACCCTAAGCTGCCTAAACTCCCTGAAGCCCCTAGACTCCCTAACCCTAAACCCTAAACACTCCCCCAACCCTCAAAGGGCCCTCTTCCAGGCTTACAAGGAATCAACGCTAAACCCTAAACCCTAAACCCTGAACCCTAAACCCCAAATTCTAAACCCTAAACCCCAAATTCTAAACCCTAAACCCTAAACAGGCTTACAAGGAATCGACACAAGACGAGAGCAGCAGCTCGGCCTCCCGCAGTGAGCAAGCTCAGGCCTGGTCTCAGCTTCCCTGCTTCCGGTTTAGGGTTTAGGGTTTCGGGTTTAGGGTTTAGGGTTTAGGGGGTTGAGGGTTGAGGGTTTAGGGTTTAGGGTTGAGGGTTTAAGGGTTTGTGGGTTTGTGGGTTTTGGGTTGAGGGTTAGGGTTTGTGGGTTTAGGGTTTGGGGTTTCCTCAGAGCTTCTTCCGCACTGGATGTGTGCAGCCGGTGAGTTCACGCGCAAGCTCTCATAGTATGAGTTTGGCCATGAAAACGACAAAAATCCCAAAGCACTAAGCCCTAAACCAAAAGCCTAAACCCTAAACCCTAAACCCTAAACCACAAACCCCAAACCCTAAACCCTAAACCCTAAACCCTAAACCCTAAACCCCAAACCCCAAACCCTAAACCCTAAATCCTAAACCTCCGCTAACTTTGCTCGTCCTTTGAAAACCCGTACGTGGACGAAGCGAAGGATGGGCAGGATGGCGATGCTCCAAAGCAGCTGAACTCTTTGAAGACGGCGTGGGGCCTGGTGTTTCGTGTGTCCCCTAAACGCGAAACTCCTTTCACCCTAAACCCTAAACCCTAAACCCGAAACCCTAAACCCCAAACCCCAAACCTCAAACCCTAAACCCCTACGCAACCCAAAAAGGTGCCCCGGAGCTGACCACATGGAGGCTTTCGAAAAGAAGGGACCCCCCAACATGGATCCCCGATAGTAGGATTCCCTGAACATCAGAAGCGCCAGTTTGGGCCCTGAATTTTGGGGACCCTGTTATCTAACCCGTATATACACTATATATACTACGGGCCCCATACTTCGGATCCCCATAAACAAGGGGGGACCTGAGAAATCGGGTACCCTAAACCCTAAACCCGAAACCCTACACCCTAAACCCTAAACCCTAAACCCGAAACCCTACACCCTAAACCCCAAACCCTAAACCCCAAACCCCAAACCCTAAACCCTAAACCCTCTCGGAAGCCCCCATATGCCTCCCAGGCCGGACCGATGGAGTCCGTGGGCAGCGAGGTTCCCAGTTGCTGCGGATTGAACGAGTTTAGGGAGTTGCAGGGTTGCAGGGTTTCAGGGTTTTAGGTTCTTTTTAGGTTTTTTTTGGGTTTCAGGGTTTCAGGGTTTCAGGGTTTCAGGGTTTCAGGGTTTCAGGGTTTCAGGGTTTCAGGGTTTCAGGGTTTCAGGGTTTCAGGGTTTCAGGGTTTCGGTTTTTTTTTAGGAGTTTTGCGGGTCTGGGGTTTCGGGGTTTAGGGTTGTGGGGTTTAGTGCAGCTGGCGCTGAGGTGTCGGACATCCCAACAATTGCAAGGCACATGGGCACGGCTTGTTGAGCATGACGAGCTTTCCTCCGACGCTGCAGTTCATGTTCAGGAATTCAGGAAATTTTAGAGTGTCTTGTGTGCTGCATTTCCTGGACCTCGCACGTGCGACTCTTGCTCAGGCTGTGTAGGACTGCGTTGGGCAGCATGCGCCAGCAACCAGCAACCGGACATAGTGCAACATGCATGGCATTGTTCACGGCAACCGCGCTGTTTGCAGCCTGTAGTGCTTAGTAGGGGTGTCACAGCCACAGCCCTCTAGCCCAATCCATACTTGGCCTCAGCACACGTCCCCCGCCTAAAGCGGCTAGGTCCTCAGCTGTGCAGTACTCGAGCGGCTCAACTCCACTTGCCTACGCAAAAGAAGCTTCAAAGCATTTCTACAACCTGTCTACATCGGTACACGTGGCGATGTAGAGGGCATCGCCTCCAGCGTGCTCGGAGGCAGCGCAGTGGCTTGTTTGGTCAAAGGAGCGGCAACAGAGTAAGCTTGGAAGAGCCGTGGAAAGCCGCAACGCTTCTGTGACGGCCTGCGATACTGATAGAGCATGCGAGTGTGACGATTTTGGCATAGGGCTGGAGAGATCTTAGCAGATAGCTCAGAGCCTTCAGGGTGGTAAGCTGCATCAACACATTGCGGCTGCTCCTGCAACGCACAGGGAGTTTCAATGACGGCCCGGCAGTCCTTCGCTCAGCGCCCTTGCCATGTCTCCACCCTGTAGGTTCTGCGTACGTGAGCCGCCTTTAATTGACAGTAAGCACCTTTCCAAGTGGAACGAAGGTCGTCGTACCTCCCGCCGTCCGCTGCCTCCCAGACAATGGGTCCGCGCCCCAGTCTGCAGGAAGGGAGAAGGAACCATAAGCGACCCCCAACAACCATAAACCCTGAGCTACCCCTTTAGCCCTAAAGAACCCCTAAGCCCTAAAAGCAAGACCCTAAAACGCCCCTAAAACCCCCTTAAACCCCCTTAAACCCCCTTAACCCAAGGTCTGAGACCTGAGTCCCGAGCAACCAATCACTCCGCCAGGTGCTGCACGTGTCGCGGGCGCCGCTACTGCGCTGGCGCACCGCCTGTTGTTGTGGGGAGAGGGTTTGGGGGTCCAGTTGTAGTGATTTGGAGAGAATCTCTCTCAGAAGGAAGGCCCTGTAAAGAAGCCCAGAGGGAACTGAATTTGCGTGTTGGGATCGGGAGGTACATTTGATTCTTCGGGAAGTTACGCACAGCCAAAAGGGCCAAAAGGGCCAAAAGGGCTTCCATGATTCTGCGAGGGCTCTTTGAGGCACACGGCCTACAAGTAATTAGCCTGATCTCTGTCCGTTTTTTTGGGGAACCAAACCCTAAACCCCAAACCCTAATTCCCAATTCCTAAACCCTAAACCCTAAACCCTCAACCCTAAACCCAAAACCCTAAACCCTAAACCCTAAACCCTAAACCCTACCTAACCTCCGAAACCACCCCTTTTGCGCCAGCGCCTCCTGGAGTGCAATCCGGACTCCCTCTTGTCGCGTCCACTTGGAGGCTGGCGTGGGAGGCATCTAGGATTGTGGGTTTAGGTTTCGGATTTAGGGTTTGGGGTTTAGGGTTTAGGACCCTGAATATCGTTCCTTAAATAGTAGTCCCTTATAGTATGGACTCCAATTTTGTTTCTTAAAGAGTATTTTCTATATTTAAATACGGGCTTTGAATCCAAATAAGGTATTCTTAATTTCGGAAACTCTCAGCTTGAAGCTGTGCTTTGTCATAGTCATGGGAGAGCCCCATCTGTCTGCAAGTAGCATCCGTTCAAATGTGTTCAAATTTTGCCCATGCCGTTTACAACTTTAGCACGTTAAGCTCAAGAAGCTGTTTAAATAGTAAAAGTCTTTACAGTAGGCAACTAACAAACAATCACAAAAACAGTAAACCTATGTAAGTCCACCGTCAGTTTTAATCAAACAAGTTTGTTAGCCTAAAGTTAAGTTGTACAATTTTGTGCATTTCACCCCTGCCTCAAGTTTTCTCAGAGTATTATTAGATGCAATTCCAGGCCTGTTCTTCGGATACATCATGATAACATGCTAATCCAGAGCAAAACACTTAAACAATGTTTGCAGCTATCACAACGGCCCCTTATGTAGAGCACCAAATAGGAAGACCATAATCAGCGAACTAGCCATTTACAACACTTGGTTTCGTTTTTCGACAGGCCGGGCCAATTCATTTCAAAGCCTTTCAAGGCTCGGCCTACATGTTTTTACAAACTGAAAGCATGGCCTGAGAATCTAAATGTGCTACAAATATGTAAAGTTCAAAAACACGTTTGCACAGCCCGGCTGCTTGCGTCGCCGGCGCTGCCCCAGCATGTTTTCTGGCCACCTTCCTATCCCTGCTTATGGCCCTTCTACTAGCAGGTTACTAACAGTCCTTATTTAGTAGGGATCAGAATAGGGGCACTAGAATCCCTATTAAGGAGCTGCTAGTACCAAGAGGGAACATCCCCAACGGTGGTTGCCAGGGCGAGTTTCAGCTGCGAAGCTGGCGAGAATGCAGTATCAGGAGCATCTGGAGGCCAAGGCGCGAGTGCAGGGGAGGGCATTGGGGGGTTCTTGCGATATCAGGGGGTTCCTTCTTGGGGTCCCCATTATATTAGGGGATCCATAAGCATCTAGGGGTGGGTCTGTTTTTTTATTCAGGGGTCCCTTAGCCCTCGCCTCGGCTGCGAAGGCGGGACACGCCCAGGGCGACCTCCTCGACTTCGCCGGGGTCTTTCTTGTTGCCTCCGCCGCGCCCGCGGCGCCCGCGCACGACATGGGTTAACTTCATGACCACTGCCGAGGAGGACGGCTCTGCGGCCTCAGAGCCCTCCACATCTTCACAGGCGCCGGTGCTGAGGTTGCATGTGGGCTCGTGTGTGGACCTGATTGACGGCTACTGGTTAGACAGTCCTTCTGAAGCACGAGGTGCCAACCCAATCCCGGAACGAGATGCTGCCAGCCACTCGCCTAGAAGTGTCTGCACTTGACGGAGCTTGAAGCACCAGAGGCACATGCGAGAACCACGCTTCGAATCTTTCAAGCTGTGGAATAGCTTATAAGATAGGTTCCTTAGTCAAGGGGGGCTCCTTGAAAACCCGAGACGGCGTGTGCTGAGGGCTTCCCACCGGAGATGCTCTGGGCAGGCGATACAGTGCTCGCACGGTGCGCCAAAGACGCTGCGACGCCAAACCCTAAACCCTCAACCCTCAACCCTCAACCCTAAAGCCTGAACCCTAAATCTACACACGCATAATTTGGGTCAACCCCTCATCTTGAGGGCATCCGAGATGCCCCTTGGAGACTTCACCTGCCAGGTACGGCCCAAACGGGCGGTTTTTCCGAGCGCGTGTTGCAGGGCGCTCGGAGTTTCGCGGCACGTTCTCGGCTTGGTGTTTGGGACCCTCCTCCCATATGAAGCAGGGTGTATACTACTGTTTTTGGTGAGTGTATATGACGTTCCTTTTTAATATAGGTGAGTGTATATACCTGGTGTCCTTTTGGGGGTACAAGAAATATATACACCCTGCTTCATATCCTCTTGCAGGTCCGTGTCTACAGTAGCCGCGGCAGCTCGTTGGCGGATGTCGAGTGGCTGAGACCGCAGGTGCGGTCTTTTGCCACCCCGAAGGAAATCCCAGCCCTGGAGCCCTGAACCCTGAACCCTAAACCCTGAACCCTAAACCCTAAACCCTAAACCTAAAACCCTAAACCCTAAAGCCTAAACCCTAATCAGCTCTTGGGGGATCTTCGGAGGACGGACGGAGCAGTGAAGAGTTCCTGGGTGCCTTGGCTTGGTTAGCATCGGGGCAGGTCACCAGTGGCGCGAGCGATGTGGCCGATGGGGACAGTTCTCGAAACTGTGTCGCTTGAGGGTCCCCTGATTTTGAGCGCGACGGCCGGTTCTGTAGCTTTGCAAGGAGGTGCAAGGAGTTTCTCGCACAGGGTGTTCATACCAAGCCCCCTCAGCTCATCTTCTCCCTCGGGTTCCTGACCTTGCAAGATGCGAGGCCCCTTGCAGGACGAGCTGCACAATCGGAACGGCTTGCAGGCCACTGGCAAGACACCTCAATGCCGACTTTTTTCATGCCTCCCTCCTTTTAATGACAGCTGCAGTTAGCATTAGGAACCTCGCTCGCTCCAATAACCCTACCCCCTGTGCTGCGTGCACAAAGACTGTTGCGACCCTAAACCCTAAACCCTAAACCCTAAGCCCTAAGCCCTACGCCCTACGCCCTAAGCCCTAAGCCCTCTAAACCCTAAACCCTAAACCCTAAACCCTAAACCCTAAACCCTAAACCCTAAACCCTAAACCCTAAACCCTAAACCCTAAACCCTAAACCCTAAACCCTAAACCCTAAACCCTAAACCTCTTGCGATGTCAGGTGGGCACCGAGGTGCGGGCGCTGATGGAGAGCCGCGGCGCGTCGGACCGCGGCCCAGGGACAGGAGTTCTGGAGGTTAGGGTTTAGGGTTTAGGGTGTAGGGTTCAGGGTTTAGGGTTCAGGGTTTAGGGTTTAGGGTTTAGCGTTTAGGGAATAGTGTTTAGGGTTTAGGGTCAGAGTTTAGGGTTTGGTACAGTGCAGATCGTTAAGCTTTCAGAGGGGGCTGCTTCAGCATGAAGCGCATGGACGTTTGGGCGATTTCGGAGTAGTTGGGTGGGTACACGAATGGGCTTGAACTCTAAACCCACAGAAGACAGAAGGCTTTCTTGCACGTTCATGGGTAGTTAGACCTGGGGGGAAGGTGCAAGTAGGGTCAGAACTACATTTGTAGGCTGAAGTATTCATATCCGACCCAAACTGCATTTGGTCAGAGAGGTGCTTCGGTGCAGAATGTGTTTTTCTGGATCCGACCATGCTTGCTGAGAAAGCCCATTTGATTTCCAGAATGCGTGTTGTGTGGCGACGATTTCCGGGCCCAGAAGATTCGATGAGACAGGCCCATCCGCCTAGACTTCCCCCACAGAAGCTAGTGCTTGTGGGGGCAGTGGGAAACTTTAGCCCTCGGATCTACCTCTCGCGCACATGTTAAAACTTGAGTCGCTCGGCTTGCACCACCAACCCTAAACCCTAAACCCTATACCCCAGACCCTAAACCCTAAACCCTAAACCCTAAACCCGAAGGCGTAAACCCCACGCCCCATGTCGACTTCAGCGGTAGAAGAAAACCCTAAACCCTAACCCCTGAACCCTAAACCCTAAATCCTAAACCCTAAACCCTAAACCGATGGGCCAAGGCCCCGAGTACTTCGGCCTGCACGCCGGTCGCGCGCGGTGCCCAAAACTAGGGTTGGAGGGAGTCCCGGGCGGGTTCGGGCTTATTTGGGGTGTAGGGTTTAGTGTTTGGGGATGTAGGGTTTAGGGTTCAGAGGGTTTAGGGATGCAGGGTTTAGGGTTTAGGGTTTAGGGTTTAGGGTTTAGGGTTTAGGGATGTAGGATTTAGGGTTTAGGGTTTTGGGAGTTTAGGGTTTAGAGGGGGTATGTTTTGGGGTTTTAAAGGCTTAAGGCGCCGAAGCCATTCTTACCAGCGGGGGTGTTTTGCATTGCAGGATCAGGGTGTAGTACGCATTGGCGCCGGGGCCGGTAGTGGCCCAAGGAGACTAGGGCCAGGTGTCTGTCCACCTGCAGAGGAAACCGGGATTTAGGCTGTAGGGTTTCGGATTTAGGATTTTAGGAAGCTCTTGTCCCAGGTCGCGTGCATCTGCTTGTGGACAGCGATGTAAGCTGTGGCCTAGTTCTTGGTATGTGTGCTACACATAAGGCCCCGTATATAGAGAAGTCCCATGTAGACAAGTACACGACCAATTAGTTGCGTATGTTGCGTCTAATTCCCCCCAGTTTGTCCTGCACGGGCACAAGATTCCACTCGAGGCCGATCGAGCGTAAACCAGGCAGCGAAGAGGCCGTGCATTCCGTGTTGCCGACCGCAACCCTACACCCTAGACCTTAGACTTTAAACCCTAAGCCCTAAACCCTAAACCTTAACCCCAAACCCAAACCCTAAACCCTCAACCCTCAACCCTAAACCCTAAACCCTAAACCCTAAACCCTAAACCCTAAACCCTAAACCCTAAACCCTAAACCCTAACTTCCGGCAAGTTTTGTCGCATCAGGGGCCAGCCGCCCTCCCCGATCTGCTGGATTTCTCCCCATTGGGCGAGGCCTGGGCCTTCCGGCCATGTGGGGGTTGCCCTACTTTGGAGTGTTTAGGGTTTAGGGTTTAGGGTTTAGGGTTTAGGGTTTAGGGGTTTAGGGGTTTGGGGTTTAGGGTTTAGGGTTTAGGGTTTAGGGTTTAGCGTTTGGGTTATAACTATGGTAACAGTAAATGTAACCTGATTAAGGGTACTAACCCTACTTACCACCTGGTTGTTAGTAGGGAATGAGGCAGCTAGGTACCTTGTAGATTTACCTAGTTCCCCCATTCCCTACTAAGAGCCAGCAAGTTTTCGGGGGGGGGGGGTTTTCGGGAATCCATGTGTTGGGACGCGGTTTATTTGGGGGAGGTGTTATTGCGGGAACCCTTTTTTTGTTGCGGAGAGGCTCAGATGTGGGTGGGTGAGGGTTCTGTAAACCCCAAACCCTAAGCCCCTAAACCCTTAAACCCCTAAACCCTGAACCCTAAATCCGAAACCCTAAACCCTGAACCCTGAACCCTAAACCCTAAACCCGGAATTCTCTGGCATGCTTTGAGGCCGCTCCATCGGGCGACCTCCTGTCCATGGAAGGCCTGGGCCCATGCATGCCTTGGGGTTTTCCTACTGGCTTTTTAGGGTTTAGGGTTTAGGGTTTAGGGTTTAGGGTTTAGGGCTTAGTAGGGCTAGGGACTGCGGGAAGCAGGCACCTTCTAGAACCCCCGTGTAACTGGGCTTCTTTGCGGGGGGATACGAGGTACCTCATTCCCGGTCTTTCCCAAAGTAGGGGGTACCCTCTTAGACCCCCAAATAGCATAGAAGCCCCTTTAAAGGGACCCCCCAAAAAGGGACCCCTATGTTGGGAAACCCCCCCCTCCTTCCCTTGAGAACCCGTAAAAGGCTGAGGGGCTTGGGAGAAGTGTCGGCCGGCTTGGAGGCTGCGCCGTGCCAGGCGACGCCTCGCCCCTGCCGAGGCTGAACTTCTCAGGCCTCGCTTTGTGGGGATTGGGGTCCACGCTTCAGGGTTTAAATTTTAAATGGGGTTTAGGGTTTAGTGTTGAATTGGGTTTTAGGGTTCAGGGATTGTTTGGTTTAGGGTTTGGGGGTTTAGGGTGCAGGGCTGCCCGGAGCCATGTTTTGCACCCAACATCAGTAACAGGCTTTCGTAGGCCAAGGCCCCAAAGCTTGGGACCCCACAAAGCCTCCCCGAAGTGCCGGAAACCCCTGAAGCCCCCCCAGACCCCCGCAAACCCTAAACCCTAAACCCTAAACCCTAAACCCTAAACCCTAAACCCTAAACCCTAAACCCTAAACCCTAAACCCTAAACCCTAAACCCTAAAGCCTGAACCCTAAACCCTGAACCCGGAACTCTAAGCCCTAAACCCTAAACCCTAAACCCTAAACCCTAAACCCTAAACCCTAAACCCTAAACCCTAAACCCTAAGCCTCTCTGAAAGGCGCCGGGCCCCCGCCGATGGAGCTGTCGAGGCTGGTTCCTCCTTCAGGGTCTGTGGGTTCTGGGGTTTTTTAGGGTCGGGGTGCTTAGGGTTCAGGGATCGGAGTGCTTAGGGTTCAGTGGGGTTGAGAGTGTTCGGGGTCGTGGTTCTGCTTTTCATGCATCCCCGAAGCCGAATCTCCCCTTCCCCGACAAGGGACACGCTGCCGAGCAGCGGCTACGGCCATGCGCAGGTGCAGGCTGGGACTCAAAATCCTAAGCCCTAAACCCTAAACCCTAAACCCTGTTTTGAGGGTTTGGGGTTTGGGGTCGCTAAGCCCCCCAAAACCCCCCCAAACAAACCCCAAAGCGCCTCCCTCACAGCTTGACGCCCTCCTACAAAAGCCTGAAACCCCAAAGCCCAAAAAGCCCCTAAACCCCCTAAGCCCTAAACCCAAAACAGGAAACCCTAAACCCTCGACCCTGAATCCTAAAAGTCTCCAAGAAGCCCTTCGCCTTGCCCAGGCGCCTGCTGCGAGCCCCCAGGAACAGCCCAAGGCGAAGTCCCGGCAGGTTTGGGGTTTCGGGTTTAGGGTTTAGGTTTTGGGTTTAGGGTTTTTTGGTTTAGGGTTTAGGGTTTAGGGTTTGTTGCTGTAGGGTTTGGGGTTTGTTAGGGTTTCGGGTTTTGCTGCCGTAGAGTGTTAGGGTTTGTTAGGGTCTAGGCTTATTTGCGGGTTAAAGGCTTGTAGATGCTTTGTCTTTGAAGCAGGGGTTCCTCGGTGTAGGGTTGGCAGGTTTAGGGTTCAGTGTTGGCTGCAGGAAAGATTCGACTTCGTCTCGGACTTGTTCCTGCAGGCACCTCGCTTGACTGGGGATCCAGTTGGACCCCAAGCCCATAAACCGTCACCCAGACCCTGAACCCCATACACCACCCCGCAGACCCAGACCCTAAACCCCATAAACCCCAGACCCTAAACCCCATAAACCAAAACCTTGTAAAACCTTAAGCTAGGGATGTTCCCCCTTATACTAACGCTCCTTGCTGAGTCGGGATTCTAGTACCCCCTTATCGAATCCCCATTAAGGACTGTTAGTACAAGGGGGAACAACCCTAAGCCCTAAGCCCTAAGCCTTAAGCCCGAAGCCCTAAGCCCTGAGCCCCAGGCCCCAAGCCCTAAGCCCTAAACCCTAAGCCCGAAACCCTAAGCCCTAAGCCCTAAGCCCTAAACCCTAAACTCTAAACCCTAAACTCTAAGCCCCTAAACTCGACGTGCCTTTTGTGTGCGGCTTTGCAGGCATCCGATCAGCCTGGGCAGCAGTCCAATAGATGAGCCTGTGAGCCTGCAGTCTGTCTTTGGGGGGTTAGTCCTCCAGTTTAGGGTTGAGGGTTGAGGGTCTAGGGTTGAGGGTTTAGGGTTTAGGGTTTAGGGCTGAGGGTTTAGGGCTTAGGGTTTAGTTTAGCATATCAAAGTGGAGTGCCATGTCGCCAGTTGCTTGGGAATCGCTCTCGCAACGGACAGCAGGTTTCAAGCGTGCAAGATCCGAGGTTCAATGTGGGGGGTTTACGAAAACCCTTAAATTAGCCCCCCCCAAATAGTAGGATTCCAAAGAAGGAACCCAATAGCAGGGTACCCTAATTCCGGAAACCGCCATGTGTCCTAGACCTTCACCCCTTGTCCCCTTAACCCTAAACCCTGAAATCCGTACCCATAAACCCTAACTCCTAAACTCCTGAACCAGCTTCTGACACTGTGGGCTCGTTGGGTTCTTCGTGCATCTTTTGCCTGGTGGTGGCGCCCCCGCTGCCAAGATGACCAAGACGTAGCTGTGCAGTCCTAGGCTGCACCCACCGGGGTTGCTGTTGAGGAGTTCAAGTCGAGTTGCCATACTAAGGAGATCAAGCATGATGAACTTCATGTCCGTCAGATGGGCAGACGGTAACTTTAGCAAGTTATTAAGTTCCATACTGAGTATGATTTGCTCATCAGATGGTAGCTTGATTCCTTAACAGCCACCCGTGCACTAGTGACATCATCACGTTTGCGGTGGCGGCTTGAGCCGGTGAAACAGTCCGAGCAGGGGCAGCTGGTGTGCCAGAGTCACCGAGAGCTGCTCTTTTGTCGCCAAACACAGCCACATCAAGAATTCTAGGGCATGCTCGTGTCCTCACATGACGCGGGTGTAGGAGGAAAGTTGGCTCCCCTCCTCTCCTGATCCCCCCTCTACACCCGGTGTCTCTGCGCCAGCCCTGCGCCTTCTACTGCTTCTCACTGTGCGGGTGCCGCATGGATCGCGAGCGATGGCCTCAGGGGGTGAGCCTCCGAGAGAGCGAGAGCGAGAGCGAGAGCGAGAGCGAGAGAGAGAGCGAGAGAGAGAGAGAGCGAGAGCGAGAGCGAGAGAGAGAGAGAGAGAGAGAGAGCGAGAGCGAGAGTGAGAGCGAGAGCGAGCGAGAGAGAGAGAGAGAGAGAGAGAGTGAGAGAGAGAGTGCGCCAGTCAGTCCAACATGTGGAAAGTTAAATTCTCACGGCTCTTGTTTGATAAAGTAATGCTCTGACGCACCTTGGCAAGAACCTGCAGACCGAGACATTCCCCAGAATCTTTTCTGCCGTGTGCTCAGTTGCGCCTACTGCCACCTCTTCCACCAATCACGTTTGAAGCAGCGCCGGGAGGACTGGGGATGCAAGATCTGGGGCTCCGACGGATGAGTCACATGAACCACTCCCAACCTACTATTTGCTTAAGAACCCCAAAAGATCCCAAAAGAATGCAAACTACTAATCCCTGTATTGCCCTTATAAGGAAGAATATGTTCATTGTTTGGGGGCTCTTAAGCAATTACTAGCAACTCCTCCTGAGTAGCATCTCATGTTGTCTTTGCCACATGTGAAGTGCCCAGAGCGCGTGAAGCTCCGGCCGTGCTCCCAGTGGCCGTCGGGCTCCCATCGCAGATCTGCCCTTGTCACACACGGGGACTTCTCAAGTTCTTGTCAAGGCTGCAAGAGCCACCTTGTGCCTACTTCGACACTACTTAGGGCTTCAGGAGTTGGGGGTTTCTTTATGGGTTTAGGGCATCTTCGGAGGCCCCCCCCTTCTCCCTCCTCCTCAGCAAGCGCGCAACGTGACGTAGGCGTAGGGGTTTTCGGACCTCAGCCCGATTTGAGAGCGAAGCCATGGCCCTCCTGTCCGAACAGAAGCAAGGCCGGGTGCTAAGCAGGGTTTCGGGTTTAGGGTTCGGGGTTTAGGGTTTAGGGCCAGAGTTTAGGTTTGAGGGTTGTGGTTTGATCCTCTCAGCCGGGGGGAGGTTTGCGGGTTGTTTAGTGTGCCTTGGGGTTTTAAGGACCTTGGTTTTCTGGATGCACTGCCATCTCAGGCTATCCATCGCCAGTCGCCGCTTCCCCAGCTCACCCAAGAATCCAGCGGGTCAACGGGGCAGCTCACTGTCCTCACAGATGCTTTCCATTTTGCTGGCTTCTTGTGGAACACGTACGTTAAGGGACCATAATAAGGATGCTACACTATTTGCTTTGTAACCCAGCTGTGGCATCTTTATATGGCGTTCTTACCAAGAGAACCTCTGCCATGTGTCTTTTTTCAAAAGGCGCGGCGAGATGGGGCCGGCACCCCAGCTGCTGCACATCACCTGTCTACTTGGAGGTTCATGGGACTTAGGTAAGTAGGGTTATAAGTACCCTAACTGGGGGTTATAAAGAATTGTAGCTATAGTTGCCCTAATTATAACCCTACTTACGAAGTCCCCTGACCCTTTCAGTACCATGGCTGGGAGACTTCGATCCCAAAGCCCCAAACCCTAAAAACCCTAAAAACCCTAAAAACCCTAAAAACCCTAAAAACCCTAAAAACCCTAAAAACCCTAAAAACCCTAAAAACCCTAAAAACCCTAAAAACCCTACAAACCCTAAAAACCCTAAAAACCCTAAAAACCCTAAAAACCCTAAAAACCCTAAACCCTAAAAACCCTAAAAACCCTAAAAACCCTAAAAACCCTAAAAACCCTAAAAACCCTCAAAACCCTCAAAACCCTAAAAACCCTAAAAAACCTAAAAACCCTAAAAACCCTAAACCTGAACCCTAAACCCTAAACCCTAAACCCTAAACCCTAAACCCTAAACCCTAAACCCTAAACCCTAAACCCTAAAACCCTAAACCCTCAAAACTAGCACTAAGGACGCGAGCAGCTCCCCTCCACAGCGCCAGACCTTCGCGGTCCGGGCCGCGGACGGTGTAGTGCAGGGAGTCGCTAGACCCAAAGCCCCAAACCCCAAGCCCCAAGCCCCAAGCCCCAAGCGCCAAGCGCCAAGCCCCAAACCCCAAACCCCAAACCCCAAACCCCAAACCCCAAACCCCAAACCCCAAACCCCAAACCCCAAACCCCAAACCCCAAACCCTAAACCCTAAACCCTAAACCCTAATCCTCCACTCACAGAAAGTCGCCAAGGCTATCCCTGCAGTCCCTGTCTTCATGGGGGCATAGAGGTAGAGGTTGCGCTCGCTACAATGCTGTATTCAGCAGCCGCAGTGCCTGCCCCATCCGAACGCCAATGCACCTGTAACTACTCCTCCGAGATGGTGGAACGTCTGTTCACATTTGCCGATGAAGCAGATACCCAGGCACTTTAACTGGAAGATAGCAAGCCTCTGCCTTCGGCAAAACCCTACCGTAATTGCTGCCTTCAACAATTGTTCGGCTCACGCATGTCCCAGCCATTCTCACCCTTGAAGATGAATCAGAGCGCATGTTCAACTTATGGATGTATTTTCTTGTTGGCATCTTTAAGCGAGCTATCGGCATTCCTTGCTTCAGAACTCCAACTCCCAGAATGGCCCCTGCGACCCCGTCCTCCCTTCGCAGAGCATCCCTTCCTCCCAACTCATCGACTCTTAGTGCCTGGTTTAGGGTTTAGGGTTTAGGGTTTTAGAGCAACCCGAAAACCCTAAACCCTAAACCCCTAAGCTCGAAACCCTAAACCCGGCCGTAGGCGTGGCATGCAGCTTCTCTATCGGGTGGAGGTAAACTCGCGCCGATACTTTCCAGGTCTAGTAGATTCCCCCCCAGACCGAACCTCAAACCCCAAACCCCAAACCCCAAACCCCAAACCCTAAACCCTAAACCCTAAACCCTAAACCTAAACCCTAAGCCCTAAACCCTAAACCCTAAACCCTAAACCCTAAACCCTAAACCCTAAACCCCAAACCCTAAACCCTAAACCCCCTACTGGAAGTACGCCCAAATCCGCAGAGCTTTGCGGGAGCGGCCTGAAGGGAAGGCGCCAAAGCGCGCAGGCACACACGCACAGCCCACCCAAAAAAGCCCTAAACCCTATAACCCTATAAACCCTATAAACCCTAGAAACCCTAGAAACCCTATAAACTATAAACGCTACAAACCCTATAAACCCTATCAACCCTATAAACCCTATAAACCCGATAAACCCTATAAACCCTATAAACCCTGTATGCCAGCATAGGCGCACCCCCCCCCCTCCCCCCCCCTCACCCCCCCCCCCCCTCCCCCCCCCACCCCCCCCCCCTTCCCCCCCTCCCCCGCCCCCCCCCCTCCCCCCCCCCCCCCCCCCCCCCCCCCCCCACCCCCATGTATCCCCCTGTTGGTGGGTTTGGGGTCCCCTCCCCCCCGTGGTTCATGCTCCGTGGCTCATGGGTTTGTGGTGAAGGGGTTTAGGGTTAGGCTGTAGAGTTCAGGATTTTCACTCTGGTCCATTGGTTGAGTTTAATCAGGGTTCAAGGTTTGGGGTAATGGTAGGTATACGGTTTCCCCTCTCCCCCCTGTGGTTCGTGCTGAGTTTACGCTTCAGGGTTCAGGGTTAAAGCGGCTAAGGTTTCGGGTTTACCCTTCTCCCTCCTATCGTTCATTGGTGGGCTTAGGTTTTAGGGCTTAGGGTTCAGGGTGTGGGGTTTAGGCTGAGGTTTCTCTGTCCTCCCCCGTGGTCCGTGGTGTTTTTAGGGTTAACAGGCAGGGTTTGGCCGTGGGGTGGGGGGGATATCATGGGGGGGGGGGGCTCGATTACGCGCAACGCGGGCGCATATAAACCACCCCATAAACCGTATAAACCTGAAACCTGAAACCCTAACCCTAAACCCTAAACCCTAAACCCTAAACCCGAAACCTGCGCGCAACCTAAAAAGACTAAACCCCTAAGTAAGCGCCCTCTCAGGTGTCGCCGCGGCCAGCTTCGGGGTCCAGTTCCGGGAGGACCTGCAGGGGCGCAGTCAGCGTAGGTTGTGGGGGGTTTAGGGCTTAGGGTTTAGGGCTTAGGGCTTAGGGTTTAGGGTTTAGGGTTTAGGCTTAGGGTTA